CGGTCCGAGGGGGGGTGTCAGGATTCCATCCCGTTTAGGTTTAGCGTCCCGACTTAGTCAGCCTATATATAGTTGGCCCCTGAGCCATCCTAATTGGACACTTGGCGCTTCCCGATTCTCTCACTTCCAATCTCCAGAAGGCGGCGGCGATTCATCACACCCTGTCAGCTTCACTCCACCATCGCTCTAACTACCTACCTATTTACCTCTCACACTACGCCTGCAAGGCACTCTTGTTAATTATCTTTGCACGTTCGCCTCTAGATTTACCGTAATATCTGCCCTACGACTCTTACGACATCTCGTCCTCCAAAAGAAGACTCCAAAACAGGTCTTCGCAAGCATCCAAACAGGATAGTCGGTGATCCACCAGTCCTCACCACCTGAACTCAGAATATAACGAATTTCATTGTCGAAAACCATCATGTCTGAGCAGCCTTACGATCCTTATATCCCTTCTGGCTCTAATGGGCCCTCTGCCAGCGCCGGCAGCGCAGCGCAGAATGGCGACCCTCGGACAAGGGAAATCGACAGAGTAAGTCAATCAACCTGTCTCCTAGCATCGAAACAATAAACTCTACGGCCCGAGATTGCAATAATTGGGGTCATATGACAAGAGTCAAGGCTTGCCATGAGGCGCAAGCGCTATCGCTTTTTGGTGGTCGGGGCCTTAGGTTCTTCAGTGCCTATTCTGAACAATTTTGCTGACACTTTCCCCCTTGCTCAATAGAAAATCCAAGAGACCGTCGATACAATGCGCTCGAATATCTTCAAGGTATCGGAGCGTGGCGAACGTCTGGACTCTTTGCAGGACAAGACAGACAACCTGGCCGTATCTGCCCAGGGCTTCCGTCGAGGCGCTAACCGTGTGAGGAAGCAAATGTGGTGGAAGGACATGAAGATGCGCGTGTGCCTGGTCATCTGCATTATCTGTTTACTCATTGTCATCATTGTTCCTGCCGGTATGTCTTTGTCCCCGCTCACTCTCCGCACAATCAAGGCGACCGAATGCGCTGGCTAACTTTTGGATTCTAGTTGTCACGACGACCAGACACTAAGTTACGAACGCAGCGAAAGTCATGTTTGATTTTGAGAATGGATGTTATTTTCCAGCAGGTCTATTTGCGTTGAGGGTGTGCAGTTTCGTTTTCAGCCACTAATACCTTTCTGCTTCTTTTTCTGGGCGTCAACAACTTCTGTGCTTATGAATCAAGCCTCGTGTCTCGATAAGCCTTTGACGATATGACTCGTCTGATGCTCGGGATGGGCTATACCATATGATCCATCGATGGTGAAGATGTAAATGATACTCCGGGCTCCGGCACTTCCCCCTGTTTCAATACGTTATTGCCTTTGTGATCTTTGTGTCGCCTTTGCCTGCAATCACTTATAATGAAATGAATCCGTATATGCCAATTCTGATGAACCTGCTATCTCTGCTCTCAACAAGGTATGGCGACTTGATGAGTGAAAACGCGCCCAAGAAGATATAGCTATCTCCACCACGAACTATCTATCCAGCAAGTACAGAACGCAATGTAAGAAGGTGCTCCAGCGACGAGAAGTGGAGCTTCATATACGGAGTACGCTAGCCAGACTAGCCTATGAAGGGGTCAGGAGGGACCACCAAAAGATCAGATAACGAAAGCGCAGAAAGTGGCATAAGTTGCAAATAGCGCAGTTCGTAACACTTCTGCAAAGTCCTGTCCTCGTCAGGCCCCATTTTCTGATTCTGAAGGGCCAGAAGGTCGACTGTGATTCGTTCAAGCCTCCGAGCGCAAACCATTATGTCAAACTGGATAGTAAACAAGTTGGTTACTTCAGTAGGTTAAGCTGATAATCAGATGAGTGATTGTAATTGAGATGATCGATCATAGCAGCCAAATCCATTTACTGATGCCGTATGCTGGGACTATTACGGAGTAGGAAAGGAAATGGAGATCTCGTGAGCAAAAAATTGCCTTTCCCGATAGCCCATTAGTATTGACTATTGAGTCACAGTAGCCGGCTCCGATGGTCGCAGCCAAGCTCAGGCTCACTTTGGTTGCCGGACAGGCTTTTTGACTCTCTCTGATGTCTCTTCGGTCTTTTCCCACTCCTTCTTCTCCTTACTAATTCTGAGATCCTTTTTCAATCATTCTACTGGTGCTAAACACCTCAACTTAGGTGTTGAGTTATTTTTCCTGCGCGAGTTTGGGTCACTGAAAAAAGAAGGCGAGAAAAACCGCGCAGGGTAGCGGCTGTGAGTACCACCTCTTAATTGAAAAAAACCCACTCCGAGGTGCGGCCGATTTCATGGGCGTCTTTGGAGATCAAACTCTTTGGAGTGTGGTCGAATCCATTGCGCACCCACACACCCCATCCATAGACCTCTAACTTGGTTCTGCTTTTCTTCCTTCTGCTATCTCTTACTCACACTGTGTTTTGAGTAGACATCGTGTTCGTTCCAAGACGATTGAAAGCTGCCGCATGCTGGTTGACAAGATGTTCTCCCTTCGCACTGCTGTGCGGAGAGCTTCCACCACCAAGCCCCTCCGCGCGCTCTCCGCACCGCACGCCGTTTCCTCTGTGAGACTCTGCTCTCCTCGCCATGCTTTGAAAGCCTCCGCTGTCCCGTTACTGCAGAGCCGTCCCTATTCCCGTGCCGCAGATTCTCACCTCTCGTCGACTCGGTCTACCGTTGTCCAGCTGCTGAGCAACATTGGTTCGAAGCGTGAGGTGCAGCAGTATCTCTCTCACTTCACATCGGTCTCCTCTCAGCAATTCGCCGTGATTAAGGTTGGTGGTGCTATCATTACCGAACACCTTCAGACCCTGTCCTCGGCTCTCGCCTTTCTCAACCACGTCGGTCTCTACCCCATTGTTGTCCATGGAGCCGGACCTCAGCTCAATCGCATGCTGGAGGCTGCGGGCGTTGAGCCACAATTTGAAGATGGTATCAGAGTGACAGATGGCAAGACTTTGGCCCTTGCCAGGAAGCTGTTTTTGGAGGAGAATCTGAAGCTGATCGAGGAGCTGGAACGTATGGGCGTGAGGGCCCGCCCAATCAACGCAGGCGTGTTTTACGCCGACTACCTCGACAAGGAGAAGTACAACCTAGTTGGTAAGATCAACGGCGTCAACAAGAAGCCTATTGAATCTGCCATCGAAGCTGGGTGTCTGCCCATCCTCACCTCTATGGCGGAAACCCCTGACGGCCAGGTTTTGAACGTGAACGCGGACGTCGCTGCCGGTGAACTGGCCCGTGCCCTGCAGCCACTGAAGATCGTCTACCTTGCTGAGAAAGGCGGATTGTTCAACGGTGACACTGGCGAGAAGATCTCTGTGATCAACCTTGATGAAGAGTACGACCACTTGATGACGCAATGGTGGGTGCGCCACGGCACTCGCTTGAAGATCAAGGAGATGAAGGAGCTGCTCAACGACCTTCCCCGTACCTCGAGCGTTGCCATCATCCACCCCGCTGATCTCCAGAAGGAACTTTTCACCGACTCTGGAGCTGGAACCCTCATCCGCAGGGGCAACAAGGTGCACACGAAGACTTCCCTTTCCGAGTTCGAGGACTTGGAGAAGCTGAAGGATGTGCTTGTCCGCGACCGTGAGGGTCTTGATGCGAGGGCTACTGTCGACCGCTACGTCGAAGGCCTGAAGGAGCGTGACTTCAAGGTTTACTATGATGAGCCTATGGAGGCTCTTGCTGTCGTCTTGCCCCCAGGCAAGGATACCTCCTCTTCCTTCTCCCACCTGGCTACATTCACGATCACTAAGTCCGGATGGTTGTCCAACGTCGCCGACAACGTTTTCGCCGCCATCAAGAAGGACTTCCCTCAATTGGTCTGGACAGTCAAGGAGAATGACGAGAACCTTACGTGGTTCTTTGACAAGGCTGATGGTAGCCTGAGCCGCGACGGTGAGGTTCTCTTCTGGTACGGTATCGAAAGCGGCGAAGAGGTCAAGCAGCTGGTGCAGGAATTCAACCAGCATGGTCGCCAGATGTTCGGTGATATTAACCTTGAGGCCAGACTCCAGCGCGCTGCTCAGGCGGCCACTAACATTGGCAAGGGCTTCGGTGCCAGCGGTGCCTCTGTTGAGCAGAAGCGCGCATTCTCCTCTACCGCTAATGCTTTGCGGGCCGCTCGCTTCGGACGTCCTGCTGTCTTTCCCAGCGCTGTGAGATCCTACTCCACCACGAATCCCAACCCTCCTCTGGGAGAGAAGAACATGTCCAACAACCGGCCCTCCAAGGTTGCTCTCATTGGAGCCCGTGGCTACACTGGCCAAGCCCTGATCAACCTGATCAATGCTCACCCCTACATGGATCTCCGCCATGTTTCTTCTCGCGAGCTGGCTGGCAAGAAGTTGCAGGGTTATGACAAGCGTGAGATCATCTACGAGAACCTGAGCCCCGAAGACGTGAAGCGCATGTCTGCGAATGGTGATGTGGACTGCTGGGTCATGGCTCTACCTAACGGTGTTTGCAAGCCGTTCGTGGATGCTGTCGACCAGGGCTCTGAGACGGGCAACGTCATTGTCGACCTGAGTGCCGATTACCGCTTCGACGACAAGTGGACTTACGGTCTTCCTGAGCTGGTCAACCGTGGTAAGATCGCTCGGGCCACTCGTATCTCTAACCCCGGTTGCTACGCTACCGCTGCCCAAATCGGCATTGCTCCTCTCGTTCCCTACCTCGGTGGACAGCCCACCGTCTTTGGTGTCTCCGGATACTCGGGCGCTGGCACCAAGCCTAGCCCCAAGAACGATGTGCAGAACCTCACGAACAACATCATTCCTTACAGCTTGACTGACCACATCCACGAGAGAGAGATCAGCACACAGCTCGGAACTAGCATTGCCTTTATCCCCCACGTTGCTGTCTGGTTCCAAGGTATTCACGTATGTACCACCCTGCCATCTATCTATTGGCCCTCCGTCTATATATTTGTTACAGGCACTAATCTTGTTCCTACAGCACACCATCAGCATTCCTCTCAACCAAGAGATGACTTCCCGCGACATCCGCAATATTTACCAGGAGCGTTACGCCGGCGAGAAGCTTGTGAAGATCGTTGGTGAGGCGCCTCTTGTCAAGAACATTGCTGGCCGTCATGGTATCGAAGTTGGAGGATTTGCCGTTCACTCCAGCGGCAAGCGTGTCGTTGTTTGCGCTACGATCGACAACCTTCTGAAGGGTGCGGCCACTCAGTGCCTTCGTAAGTCCTCCCGTCCAGTGCTATTTCGAAAGGACAGATTACTCATACGCCTATCACAGAGAACATGAACCTCGCTCTCGGCTATGGCGAGTACGAAGGCATTCCTCTCGAGTAGAACTTCCCATGAATGGTAGATATCAGTTATATAAGTTTGGTATAGTTCGGGGAAGGTATGTGATGTATATCAAACATCGATGTGTTTGATGTTGTAAGGACATCTCGTTTGGCGTCGAATTTCTACATTGGGTTTCCTCCTGGTCACCTTTCCTTTCCCATGTCTCATACCCCGCATGCATCTCTATCGGTTGCTATGGGGTCGAGATTCTCGTAAAGGCCCCTACCTCTCACCCCGTTTTCCATAGACAACCTGTTCTTTCGCCCTTTTCCTAAACTTCTGGGTTTCTATTTGATAGACTTCTAGTTCATCTTCCCGCCCTCATCGTTCCTGTCTAAAATTCACGGAAGGAAAGTGCATTCTGTCTGGCAGTGTACTGGCGCTGACGGGTTCAAAAGACGAAATCTTGAGCATTCATATCTTACTGACTGTTTATGAGCCCTCATCCATCTGCTCGTCCTGTTTTGCGACAGCATTTGAGTAATCGATAGAATGTTCTGGTCTTCTAACCTGTCATCTGTATCATTGACCAGATGAATGCTCGTCCTTGATCTTCCAGGGTAGGGCAGAAGTCCTGGGTCTCGGAAGAATGATTGCCGGTGTAGACCTACAGCGGAAACTATAGACATTAGAAGAATCGATCCGACCAAGTCCGAGAATCAATAACTGGTGGTTCAACTTTTAGTAGAGTAAGGGCGTCCAGGAGAAGTGAGCTCGGTTTCGAACTAGCAAAGGACTCTAGCATCAGGTGCAGAAGCACTCACTCCTGCTCTCGTCTCGATCCTCGAGCGAAGAACTTTCCTGTCTCCAGAACCTCCAGCACTTGTCTCTTATCTCTCCATCGCCTCGCATCATCCATAATCATGCTAAATGCCATGTTCTTTGGCAGGGCATGAAAATCATTCGAGCTTGACTGACACACGTTCGAGAAAGCAAGCCCTCATTTGCTTCAGAAATAAGATAGTAAGTTTCCAGAGTTCTACAACTGCTTCTCGTCCAATCTCCCCTGAACCTGATCAAACAAGCTTGTGACTATTTCCAGGCTAGAAAGCTGACAGTCCTAGAGGCTTACGGTCTAGAGCATTACCTTTGAAGCTTCATTGCAATATAGAATCTACTCCAAAGACCTCAGACACCAACAGACACGCTCAACGCGCAATTAAGGGCGCAGCTCGCGTCGCGACAAGAGTGGTTCGACTTAACCACATGTAAAGAGACAAGCCCACGGAAGATCATCATGTTCTACAGTCACGAAAGTAAGTATACCTTCTTTCTGTTAACTCATTTTTGGAGTTCTCTGTACTCTTCTGGGTCCTTTTCCGACTTTCGCACCGCTGACTTTTGCATTTACTCTAGTACTTACATCCCCCGAGCACGGGGTTGCTACGATATGGTATGCGACCTCTCCATATATAAATTCTTTCTCAACTTGGTGCCTGTGTGCCAGCTGATTGATTCTTCTCGCAGGCTGGTCGCAACGCTAGGGTCGAGATCCATCACAAGAAGATTGAACAAGAAGGCGATACTGGACGTGGATGTTCCGAGAGCTTGCGAGGTCATCATGGATCCTACGGCACCTATGGCGTTGAGACTTCAGGGAAACCTACTGTGAGAGCTTCATCATCTGGATCAAAACTGGAGGTCGGAGTGTTGACGGCAGACTACGCAGATACGGAGTCGCCAGAGTCTACAATCAGCAGTGCCGCTATACACTCACAGATGTGCAGGCAATGCATGAAAGATTGAGATCAATGTTGGGAGCTCTTCCCGGAACAGCCTTGGATCCGACAGCTGGCAAAGCTAGGTTCGTTGTTTTTCTACTTCTCGACCCGTTATGTCACGGAACTCTTTTGTGTTTGAAAGCATGCTAATGCTTTTCTCAGACCTGATCAGCTCATCTTGCCGTATGACCCGTCGTTCCTTCCTGAGAACAATCTCCCAGGGTTGGGTTTGGATCTTTCAAGGCTGAATCTGTGGATGGAAGAGCGAGCAAGCCAGCAATTCAGCTTCCCATTACCAATGACTCCTGACTTAAGTCAGACCGTTGTCTCGCATAACTCTAGTTTGCAGCTTGACTTATCATCGCAAGATCTTGTCCTGAGAGATATACACGGGTTTGGTTCTGAGACCGAAATGACGAATTCTGCTCAAAGAACTGTGCAACTCGGGCGGATTGCAGCGACAGCTCTCAATGATGAAGAGGGCATTCTTCTGCAGCCTGACTTTGACTTTGATGAAGATGGAAATCTCATCGAGCTTGCGGGTGTTAATGCTGCTGGTGAGGTTGGAAAGCGCAGCTCTGGCAGGTTTGACGCTGAGACACCGGTCACTGGTGAGGTGAAAGAGGGTGATTTGAATGACATCTCCTGGGACTATCAGGTATGGTCTGAATTTCACGAGCTGTTGTTTTTACTGACATAATATCTCTCCAGCCAATGCTAGTCGACGAGGGCATGCAAGCAATCACTGAACACAGACAGCCTACCCCCGTCTTCAACGCAGACACATTTATGCCTCAAGCTCCTGAAGCTCAACACTCGGAAGAGATAGAGAATGCTTCAGACACTCGGGAGGCAACAATGCGTCGGACTCGAAGAATCCCGAAAGCTGTTGCAACCGATAGTCAAACCGCCCTGCGAAATACTGAGCTGGCTCAATACAACAATGAATACGTGCAAAACATGGCCGCTGCTCTAAAGCAGAAGCTGAAAAATAAAGTTCCTACCCAAGCAAAGAAGGATGCAGTCTTTTGGGTCTACGGCCAGGGAATTGGCTCAGTCGGCGTTGGCTTGGGAATTGCTCATGTTCAGCATCCTTTGCATTTCTTCTCGGGTGAGACTTTGTACGCATCACTGACAAGCGTCGAAAGATCAAAGAAACGCAAGAGCTCTCCTTCGACTAATGAAGACAGCGATGCTGATTCCGAAACTCGACGCGTTCGACGTAGGGAAGAGTCCGAGGAACAACTCGGCCGAGGTGGGCCTTTTCACGACGATCACAACTTGCATGATGTTCGTGGGATAAACCTTTGTCGCTCTGTTGATTTTTAGCCCTATAAGCTGTAGAATTACTGACAGTCATCTAGGATATGGAGATTGGCCGTCATGCCTCATCAGTCCTTCGAGATGACTCCTCCCAAATGCCCTGGAATATCACAGCGTCCGTCCGAAGCTCTCGGCTTGGGCTGTCTGCAACAAGCATCTTCCGTGGATTCGGCAGCATTAGTGACTTTTCTACTCGGGGCATTCGCGATTCGGCAGCCTCCATGGCTCCACTTGCAGCACCAGGCAGAGCTCGAAGTCGCCTAGTAAGTGCAAGTCCTCTGGCTGGACGCGGCTTGCAGTACGACTTGGAGGGTCTCGCAATCCCAGGAACCCAAGAAGATGATGTGGATTTCCTCGAAGACAACGATCTAGCGGGTTATCTTCAGAGCGAGCTTGATATTGGACCCAACGCTGAACCCAAGGATGAGACTGACAGAAAGCGAGCAGCCTTCCATAACCGGCTGTTGAAATCTAGTATGGACCAGGAGAGCCTGAACTTTCTCGAGTTTCTCAACCTGCAAATTGAGGAGCCTGCTCGAGATTCTGCAGAGCAGGATACTGTTCGTGAGACCGATGCTGGCTTTCTTCGTCTTGATGCTTCTGATGGTAAAGAAGTAGCATTTTCGACGCTCCTGCCTCCTGAATCCACCTCTTATACTGTCGCCACGCATGGCCTGATGCACATACTTACCCTGGCAACAAAGGGCTTTCTTTCAGTTCATCAGGAGCCATATGAGGATGAGAGTAGCGAGGAGTACGGTGTTCGCTACAAATTCGGAGAGATATACTTGCGCTTATCCCACATGTAGGCATTCCTACGATGGATATCGATCGCAACGACAACGTGTACGAGTGACATTCCAAAACCTTCTCATATTTCATTTTTTCAATCTTCGGATGATAATATGGCTCATATTCTATTATCTGCGATGCAATGATTCTATCTATTTGCTTCACATTTCTCGTGGGAATGCATTTTTTAACTTCTCTGTCTACTTTCTTTTCTCTGCTTTCCTTTTTTTTTTTTTTTTTTCATTTGTCCTTGATGTTACAATAATCAATGCTACAAAATTTCTGTATTTATCGGAATATCTATTAGAAAAACATGTTTTCGCTTGAACACAGACACAGCTCTTTCTGGAGTCCGTTTCAAATTAGTTGTTAATTTAGATATGGTAGTAGAAGCCGGCAGTATAAGTAAGTGTCTGGAATATTGAAATAATCCGTCCACTCTATACTTCTATATTGATCGCTGGTCTAACTAAATCACTGGTCACTGGACATAGATTATCAACATGATCAGCTGGTGTTAATTGATCCTGTTGACAACATTTAAAGGTGGTAGGTACATGGAGTACACTTCCATTCATGATCAAATTTTAAGTAGATAATCTTCAGCCTAGATAGGATTTTCACTGGAATTCCTGGCGCAACTTATTGGCCGGCTGGCCTAATGGTAAGGCGTTGCTCTCCTAAAGCAAAGATTGCAGGTTCGATCCCTGCGTCGGTCGAAGTTTTTTGCCTTTTTTTTCTGCCATCCCCAGAGAATCTCAAACATCGTCTGATCGCTGAAGATCAATGTTGGCGATTCGGTCTGAATTAAATCGCCATATAGAAGGAAGATCCCTAGCATCTACTACGTACTAATGTTTTAATAGATTGTGTACATGCTAATGTATATTCCTTGATGAGAAGTGGTACGGAGGGTGTCGTGTCACGGGTATTTTCAGGCTGTAAAAACAACAGGCATAATTCGACCCTGCATACAGAGTATCATCTACGTATTGGATCTGTTCAGTAATGGCAAATACATCATCAACAGAGTACCAGGGAACGCGAATCGGTCTCCCACTCAATCCCCATGTCATGACAATACTCACTGGAGATCTTTTGACGTGAGACGCCTCAAGGTGTAGCATCATACTGGCTGGCTCTCAGCCCCTCCTACCTCGAGTGAGACGGTGGTTGTGTGTGTGCCAGGGTCTTCAGTGGAGGAATGATCGAAATATGTTACTTCTAAGATCTAATTCCATGTAATCGCATTTATCTCTTCTCAATTGAGATGACCGCAGGATGAAATAGAGTCATGATACAGGGGATATTTTATATGCGTAGCAGACCGTCATGAGATTATTATTGCACAGAAGAGATCCGCGTTCTTCCGTACTCCGTATAGAGTACAGGAGATCTAACATTGCTACCTAGTCTGCTACAGCGCTGATACGCAGTATTGAGGCAGTACAGAGATTCATACTGGGTAAGTACCTTATGTTTCTTGACTTGTCCAGAACACTCGAACAGCAATATAGAATATGAAATGGTATTCAATGAAAGTCCTCTGAATTTCAGTGTCAAAGAAGTCATACACCCGTCCAAACGGCCGAGAAGCGAGATAAAGGATAAGGTAATGACCTTGCCTTCCACCTCAGCTCTACGACTTGATCATTCGATCGCGTGACAGATTTAGACTTTCAGCTCTGAAGACTTCCAATGTGCCAGGGCATCCATTAGGCCTGATGCGAGCAACAAGATGATTGAAGAGCTTGGAGTATCATAATGCTCAAGTATCTAATACTCAGAGGAATGCCAAATGAATTATTTAGGGGTATTGATGAGTGTAAGATGATTGACCGTTGTTGAGTAATGAATTTGTAGTCAGTTCTGGGCCAGTATAAAAATTACGCTTATGGTACGTAAGGTTCCGTCCTGACGAGCTCGCGTAAGTTAACCGCCACTGTCTTGTCTTGTCCCCGTCTCGTCTCGTCTCGTGTTCTGCCCGTCAAACCGAAACTCTTTCCTTTTCTCACTCGCTCACCCCGAGTCTGCTCCCTCCCAGCTCCCTCGAATTCATCCCCTTACCATCTGCTGAGAACTCTTCTTCATCTCTGGTCATCTCTAGCTGTCTCTGTAATTCTGGTTTTCATCGATTATTCCCCTTTTCTTTCACCTTGAACATGGGTCGTACCGTCGATCAGGAAGTTCACGCGGCGTTCGTCGAGTTCCGCGCCAAGGAAGACGATAAGGTGCGTGACTTGTATTTCCCGTAATATTTCAACCAGCCGCTTCACCATCGTCACTAACAAAACACGTTGTTTGCTTGGTTGTTCTGCAGTGTCTTTCCGTCCAGTGTATCTATTGTCAGCAGATTCGCGCAAAGAATACATCGCGCCAGAAGCAGCACTTGCTCGAATGCCCCGGCCTTCGCGGTCAGAATCAGACAGCACAATCTGCGCCCAACGGCATCGGTGCTGCAAATGGATACCCTGCAACTCCCAATGGTGCAGCTGCCACCGCTCCTGGGGCTGGCCCAGGGCCTGGCACAGGTGCACTTCCGACTCCTAACGGACCGATGATGACGAACGGCGTCAACCCACATGCTACCTCGATGCAGACTCCGCTGCAGAACATGCAAGGACGCGCTGCGTTGCCAACTCCCGGCCCTCCCACCGGATCTGCCTCTGCTACTAGTTCCCAGCAGCCGGCTCGCGCTACCCCCAAGTCGAAGCCCAAGACCTCTACCTCGAATCTCCCGGCTCCTCCCCTAGATGACGTTCATGCAGCATTTGTCGAGTTCCGTGCGAAGGAGGAAGACAAGGTAAGAGAACAGCTGGTCTGATTAAAAGAAAATCGATGGTATGCTAATCAAGAAAAGTGTCTGTCCGTGCAATGCATCTACTGCCAGCAGGTTCGCGCGAAGAACACCAGCAGGCAGCGCCAGCACCTCCTGGAATGCCCTACGTACCTTAGTGTCATGAAAGATTCGATCCCTGCCAATAACCTCTTGCACACATTCCCTGAAGGTGATATCGCCCGGTCTCTGCAGATCCCTGCGCCTACTTTGGAACTGGACTTCCGTATGAGCATCAAGATGAACCCGAAAGTTTCGGTCGGGCAGAGTATTTGGGGTCAGAGAGATTGGGTAACATTTATTGGTGGTCAATGGGCGGGCAGATGGGGCAAAGGCATTGTTTTGGTGAGCACTTCCTTTTTTCTTTGCTGCAAAGCTGTGCTAATGCTCTTTGTAGCCCGGAGGACAGGACTCGCAGATTGTCACCAAGGAATCTATTACCAACATGCGGTCGAGCTATGTGCTCCAAACCGCAGATGATCCGCCTGCCTTTATCGTTGTGAAGACTCAAGGATGGTTGACAGGCGCCAAAGACGTTCTGGATAAGGTCAACGACCCTAACATTGCGGACACGATCAATCCCAACACCTACAAGTATCGCGTCAATCTTTCCATGGAAACTGGAGATGAGCGTTACGCTTTCTTGAATACTCTCATGTGGATTGCCAGTGGTTGCCGCAGAGGCCATGAAGGTCAGTTGAGTCACTTTTGTCATGGGCTGAGTCATGCTAACGAGCCTACAGTCATCTTCGATGCATTCCGTGTCAACTAGTTCTGAATTCAAACAAGTCTGTTCCGTCTGTTTATTGAGCGTAGCTTTTCTTTCTTTGGTGATGGGAAAATATTGATCTTGTTTTATCCCCTTTTCCTTTGTGATGCTACAGGCCAGTCCACTGTCCTCATCCAAGGTGACTCAATGTTTTCGCCTAATGTTGATGGATTCCCTGCTGGGTTCTTTTGGCATGGGCACTGCATTGCCACGTCTCGACCGCAGCCCGCTTGATACGTTCATTACTATCTGGCGTATGTTCTTGCGTTCGTTGATTTCCTTCCACATGTACGCTAGTCTATTCTTTTCATCTGTCGCAGATTGCCAGACCATTGAAAGTCGATTACTTCAGTCGTCTCCTTCACCTCTGCTTGAGCAATGAGGATTTTCTGTATCTTTACATCTGAAAACTGGAGATTTCACGATACTTTCATTGGGATGTAGGGTAGGGAGACTTGGATTTCAGAGTCTAAACAAAAGTAACAAAAGGTCAGAGTGATCAATTCAACACAGCCTGAAATTCCAATTGCATACGAGGACAAGGAACAGCGTCAAAATTAAGTCACGAGTGTCTGTATGCATGGTTCCAAAACCACAAATATATTTAGCCCTCTTTTGCTTATGCGAGTCAATATACAGATACATCAATGGGCGTTGAACGTATTATCCTGTCAGTAAGGTACCCAGGTAGTAAATTACTAGGTCGTTTACCTTTGATGTTGACAGGTATCATTATTTCTTTCTACCCCAGTTCTAGACCGACGTACTAACGGAAATAATTGAAACCATCATGGTCTCCTAGGTAGTTATGTACCTGACCGGCTGACCCATGTACTCCGTAACTAGTACGTAGTAAAACCAGCTAGCCTAATTTTTGGTTTTGAGCTTAAATCAGCCTTGGATCTTGTTTCTATTTGTCAATGGAAATAATGCCTGAGGCAGAACAGGTTCTGTACTTGTACTTTACGATGATAGATTTAAAAACATTGAAAGGGTTCATTGTATCCTGTAAAATTTCCAATGATGGTAATTATCGTTGGAATTGAGGTTACTGTCTAGATGACTTTAGTGAATAATGGCAATTTTATTCTCTGATGTGATTCTAGTAAGGATACAGACTATCGGCTGCCAAATCAAGCTGCTTAGCATGATTGTAATCCGGCCATGACGTGGTATATGTTCAGAAGCCTGTAATTTGAGATCGTTAGTATTGATCGCCAGGAAGACAAAGAGGACAACTTACCCTTCTCAGTGTTTCCCTCTCCCATGCTCTTACTGCTGCTACTGCCGCTCTGGATGGCACCCAGGATGCCGTCCATGTACGGCGCACCGCTCCATTTCTGGTGGGTGAGGACATCGACGCCGAGTTCCTTCTCGCGGGACTGGATAAGTCGCACGTAAGCGAGCATGCCCTCATCCTTGAAGGCGCGCGAAAGTTCGGTTGTGATGGTGGCATTGCTGTGCAGGCCAGCAAGGGAGATGAGTTGCAGGACAAAGCTATTACAGTTATCAGTTTCTGCCGTGCATTGACAAATTATGCTTTTCAACTCACCCATGCTTGGCGAGATCCCAGACAAAAGACTTGAGAGATGCCTCGTCAAAGCCCTGGCCCATCCAGTTAAATGACGGGCTAAGGTTGTAGACCAATTTCTTCCCGGGGTATGCGGCTCGAACATCGCTTGCTAGTTTTCCAGCTTTTTCGACATTTGGGTCGCCGGTTTCAACCCACAAGAGGTCCGCATAAGGGGCGAATTCCTTGGCTCGCTTTGTGGCCGCTGGAAAGCCGGCACGGTAGTGGTAGAATCCCTCCCTGGTCCTGGGGCTGTCACAAGACCAGACAACCGGTTTCTTTGTGTAGTCGCTCGCCACAGCTCGGCGACGCGAGATAGACAGGTCAGGGTTCTCTTGGACCTTCTTCTTGTATGCATCACGGGCAGACTGCGGCGCTCCTTCGGCCTCGAGATGTGCGTCGACAGCTGGCCCATTATCAGCTTCCACTCCTGCAGAACTGAGATAATGAGAAACAATATACCTTCATCAAAAGTGACAAGCTTGTGCTTCTTGACCCACTCCAGCTCGAAAGCATCGACCTCTGTAGGCGCAGCACCTTCGCGCTCCATTGCTTGTAGGGTTTCCGCCAAAGGCTCGACCTCCTCTGTAACTCCGAGGATGAACTCGTGATCACGCACATCGATCGCACTGCTAATCAACTTCCCACTCTCGGAATCCGTTCGAGCAATCACCAGATTCTCGGCTCCCATCATGTCCCATTGGAAACGAGCGGCGACGAGTCTGTTGATGTGCTCTCCTACAGGCACAAGGACTTTTCCTGCCAGATGACCGCACTTCTTGCCGCCATGCAGCTGATCTTCGAAATGAACAGCCGCAGCACCGTTCTCCGCGAAAAGCTTGGCCAATTTGAGGACCGCGGAAAGACCGCCATGCCTGTAGAATAGAGGTTGTCAGTTCGTGGATCATCAAATGCAGCATGATGTTGAAGCGCACCCGGTATCGCCATCTGCAACGATCGGTCTCATGTAGTCGACGTATGGGGTCGACTTTCGCTGTTCGGGGGTCATCTTTCGTCTGGCATCCCATTGTTTGCGATCATGCATTTGTTGCGCCTTGAACAATCTTTGGACCTGGTTTGGGACGGTATTGTACGGGTAGTCCCCAAAGTCCGGGGAAACCTCATTCGTTGTAGTCAAGAGGGAAGAGCACGCCCAGCCCGAGATATACAGCACCTCCTGATTTGGAGCTTGCTGTGTCATTTGTACGGGATCAATTGCACCCACTTTCCAAGCATTAGTCTTAGATCAATAACCCTGATGAAAATCCTACATACTGGTATGAACCGGCTTTCCCTCTGCCGCTCTCTCATTCAACAGATTGAATAGCTTACGAGCCATTAGAGAACTCGGATATGTTTGCTGCAAAGTGCCACGTTTGCTGACAACGTCCGCGGCCGAGTAGGGTCTCTTGATGCCCTCGAACCGCGGAGATTTCCACCAAGCCTCTACATCTTTGATCTGTTGCCCATAAAGCGCATCTTCCGCAGCACCAGCCTTCTCAGTGGCTGACAGCAATTGAAACGAGTCTGATGGCAAGGCCGTCGAAACGGGAGGCTCGACGGTCGGCAGCGGAGATGATGACATCCGCGGATAACCGCATGTGAAGGAACGCAGGGCGACACGAGACGGACTGCCAGCAGTCGAGGAGAGAGCAGGAAGGCGTCGAGGAATCCGACGAGAAACTGATCGAAACATCTTCCCAGTCCAAATCAAATGTCTGGGATGAACATGAGAAGAAAAAGAAGGAACAATGGATAGATGAAGGTGGTGTGATGGGGGAGGATCCTGGGGAGCTTAAGCCTTTTGGGAGGGATTGCCAGCGTCCCCGCCATTGGGCCGATCACCCAACCTCGGTCTGGGGGACCGCGACAGCCCGTTGGCCCTGTTAGTACTATTTGCATTTGCACTCCCGCAGTGGATTCCCCGCGGGCCGATGTCGCCTATTTCGCTTCTTTTTCCGCATTTCGCAGATGGCTCTTAATGACGAGATGTTCGAATTATCATGTGCATGAGTTTCGGATGACAAGTCTCCTCAAGCATGAGTAAAGAATTTACGTTAAGTACAGAAGAGCTTCTCAAAGGATAGCGATCAAGAAGCTAAACCTTCACTGGGCAGCCTTAATCTAGGTATCTTTGCACCTTGACCACCAGCTCTGAGTTCTGGATACGAAATTCTCGCATGCCCTTTCTCCCATCAGGAATCAATGTGCTCCGATGCCTTCTTTGGCTTGTGCTTCAGAGCCATCAAGACGTCGGGCTCACTGGCTACGCAAGGAAAAGTCAGGAAGTTCCTGAACCGCTGCCAATCCAACATCCACATTTCTTGAAAGTGCCTGTCCCGGAGTCGTTCAACTGGCAAGTCTATGATATGATTAATGTTACACAAAAGTCCTCAAAAGGGGGTTGTATCAGTCCTCACCTCGCTACAAAACGATAAAATGTTGCACCGTTGACATTCCAGTGACGCTTCTTTGCCACAATTGTGGCAGCTTTTGTGCTTTGCGAAGCTCCTTGGCCATTTTTGGACCTGGTCATTGAGTCGTAGCAAGTCATGTAGGGATAAGGGTATGAGCTGTGTTTCTTCCAGCAAATTGTTGCAGAAAGGAAGTCACTTGGAATTCCCTTCCAAGGTAGGCAGTTCTTACCTTGATCGAGTAATGGTCCGTCACAATAATATTGATCGAGTTCCACCGTGAGATATGCTTCCGAGCATACATGATAGCAACCGTACGTCCGTGGTCCAGATCAGGTGTCACAAACGAAGCTCCTAAATCATGAGTATGAAAGACGATATGAAAGGGCTCCTCGTTATAGAGACTGCAAGCCATGAGTTTGAGCGGAAAGCCTTCGTTTATCTGAACAATCTCCGCGAATAGGCACCAATGCCTTCGTGGCTCGATCACCTGGTCACTGACATGTTTATAGTGCTCTGGGTCATAGATCTGGTAATCCGGCAGGCCAAGGACTCTAGGGAACGAGACTCTATCCCGCAAATTTGCGTATTTGGCCATTGTGCTGGCCTTTTACCACTTGTGTGGAACAAGCCATATTTTTTGAAGGAACGCCAGTATTTATACAGTCCACTGAGCGCTTATACTTCATTCACTGTTGTTTGCTTTGAGGTTGAGTGAATGATAGATAACGGATCCGTTTTCAAACCATCCATACTTGTTATTCTTCACTCTCAAGTCATTCATTTCAGCAGACTTTGAATGGAAAAATTGTAGAGACAGGAGAGTATCATGGCTAAGAGCAGGCAGGTACTGGGCCTAATTCAGTTGAATCTTAAGAGACAGGAATGGTTGGATTTCATAATCTGCTGCTCAGTTGTTTCTGAATCCAGCCTTCTCAGGTGTGGCGGATAAGAAAGAGGTAGAATATGAAGAGACAGGGAAATACAGTTCTTCTTAGAGTTCGACTCAAAGAGAGAATGTACGTATAGGGAATTTGTCCATCCAAACGGCTCTTGTATGAATCAAGCCCTGATACATGTGCGGAGTAGTGCCTTAAACCTAAGGATCTCATGAGGGGTAAAACCTTACGTAAGGTAGGTAGTAAACCATCAACAACTGGCAAAGGGAAAGAAGCATCGAATAGGAGGCCAGGGATTACCTCACACGAGCCACTCTCGAACAGGCAAGGTCCAGAAAGACGATCATCTCCAACTCTTCGACTACTTGGACTAATCTACTCCGTATCATGCTGTCATACCTCAACCTTCTTCTCCCTCCGAGTGGCGCTCTCCATTGTACTATCTCTTTCACGATGATTGGGCCTTGTCATGAATCGCGGCAAGTATTCCATACTTCCGTCTAGGAAGTGACCGACCCTGTTGAGCTGGCCCAATGATGCAGAGGAAGCTTCGCAATGAGTAACAAACCGAATGGACTAGCCTCAACAGATCCTACTCTACCACGGGGTTTCTCCTGTCTATTTCTAACAGAAGGTCCCGGCTGTTGTCCGCGTCCAGTTAAACAGTGGCTTATCAAGTCTGATCCGCGAATCCGCGTCCTCAAACCTCACTCCAGCAGTCGTCCCCGCAATCTGCATGTTTAGTGCAATCCTTATCATATGGATGCGTTTCTCCTCACGGCTCGGGTCTCTCTCGAGGCCGTAGTTTATCTATCGTTGCTCAAGTGACAGCAAGCTATTTTTTGCTCCTCCTTCCGATGACAGATACGGATGTGATGGCTTATCTATTGCTTCTGCGGACTATTCTGGAATTATAGTCACTCGTTATTCCTCCATTCTCATTCTCGCCCTGCTTTCTTGTCTGGGTTTCTGTCTCCTCCAGTGGATGGTTGTCTCCATATCGGCTAAATCCATATTGTCATTACACCAAGCGGCATGGACAACATCAAGATCCCATCTCCTTCGACAATTCTAGACACTAATCCCACCATTCCTTCGTCCGCCGCGACCTTTAATTCGGCCTCTTCTGTAAAAGGAAGCGCGGCACCGAATCGAGCTACAAGAGGACTCATCACTAACAAGCCCAAGCAATCCAAAAGTCGAAACGGTAAAGTTCATTCCTATCACCTGTTAAAGAGATCAAGTCTCGATGTCGGATCGGTGCAGACCGCATACATACTTCCAGCCAGGAATTGCGCAGAGCGCTGACTCCATTTTTCTTTTTGACGATACTTTAGGCTGCATTACTTGTAAGGCAAAGAGACTAAAATGTGACGAGTCGAAGCCAACCTGTCTCCAATGCAAGAAGCGCAACGTGGAGTGTGGAGGTTACAAAAAGGACTTTAAATGGCGTCCATTCGAAGAAACCAATGTGGTCAGCAGGATTTCATCTATTCAAGGCAAGAAGAGTAAGTGTGCATGTTTGCAAGGTATGCGTTTTCTAGCTACCACTAAGATCTTTCAGTTGATCCGGCTACGTCAGGCAAAGAAAGGAGGGCCAGTCGTTCAGAGCAGGCGGACAAGGATCGTCAACCTTCGCCAGCTAGCGCTCGATCGTCCGCACTGACGGCATCCTCTCTGGAATCGAATGATGTTGCACCCATTCATACACTCCAGCCAGGCGATTCTCCTTCCACCGACTCAAGTACAGTTGCATTGACCCAGGAAAACCTCATATCCTGGAACGGTGGCAGAGTTCATTCCCTGGATTTCAGTAACGCTGAAGATGAGCTCTTCACGCCATTTTTTACAGATAGTTCACCACTGGAACAGTCTCCGTGGCTGTCCGATATTGTACCCTCCACTGCGGAGACCCATACAAGCCCAGGACGGAGGCCACTAGGGCTGGCTTCGCAGAACACAGCTCTTCGACCGGGCTACTTGAGTTTTGCAGCACTTCTTGAAGAAGATAATGATAGAATAGAAGAAATAGCCCGCCATTCAGATGAGTATATTGATCCGTGGCTGGTAGGATTTTCCGATGGCAGGACGCTCTCCGAGAACTTGAATACGCCCGCTGTGCTGACCAAAGAGCCAAATTTCGATATTGCCAGTCCCGAGATGTTGGTACTCCAATTTGACAGGTTTACTTGCGGGATTTTGTCTGTCAAGGACGGGTTACAAGAAAACCCGTGGAGAACTCTGATATGGCCTCTGGCTGGAGAGACTCCCGCCTTGTACCATGCGATATTCTCTATGACGGCTTTCCATTCAAGCAAGGAAAATCCTGGACTAAGAATGCACGGGGTGGATCATATGAGACGAAGCATTACTTACATGGTCCAAGATATACAGAACATGCGGACAGATGCTGCCTTAGCTACAAGCCTGGCACTGGCATTCGCGGACACATGGGACCAACACACCCGTACCTGTATTCAGCATATACGCGGGGCCAAGGCACTCGTATCGCAAGTCCTGGGCTTCAAGGTCCGGAACGCAAATGACATTGAGAGGATCCGGTTTCTATATAACACCTGGTTGTATATGGATGCAATCGCACGCTTAACCTCTCGGGATGATGAGGGAGATCAGGATATGAACTTCTCGATCTTCCAGCTGCCCCGGAATGCCGTTCATGAGATTGACCCATTGATGGGCTGCGCCACTACGCTCTTTCCACTTATCAACCAGGTCGCCAGGCTAATCCAACGGGTTCGGAAGACGGAATCAAATTCAATTTCCCTTGTCTCTCAGGCTATCGAGCTCAAGAGACTTATCGAGCAATGGGAACCACCGGAGTGGTTCGTGCCGCCGGAGGACCCAACATCCGAAGTACAGCACAGCATCCAGACGGCACACGCCTATCGTTGGGCAACTTTATTGTATCTTCATCAAGCAGTGCCAGAAATGCCGTCAGAGCCAGCTGCTGACCTGGCCAAGCGTGTATTGATATTGCTGGCTACTGTTCCTTCGGGTTCCCGAACGACGATCGTTCAGATGTTCCCTCTTATAGCAGCTGGATGTGAGGCAGAACCAGGAGAGGATCGCCAGTGGGTTTTGGGTCGATGGAGAGCCATTCAGTCTCGTCTCATGCTAGGGTCCATCGATCGATGTATTGAAGTAGTCCAGGAGGTTTGGTCTCGTCGTGACGCCATTGAAGCAGAAATGCAGCGACGCCGCCAGCGCCTGCTCAGCAGCCCCAATTCTCAGACCAAAGCCGGGGCGCCGGGACGGAGCGGACAGAGTTTAACATCTCAAGAAACGAAGGAACGACTCGTCGGCGGTCCCGCTATTCCTTCTGACCTAGCAGTATCGTCTAAGCCCCCATTTGTAGGCACTCGAAGAAGCTCTGCTGTGTCGCCGTTGGAAAACTTCGAGTTCGAGAAAACAGTTAGGGGTAGATTACATTGGGTCAGTGTCATGCAAGAATGGGAATGGGAAGGTGAGTCTTTATCTTGTCCTGCTTGACGGTTTGCATATTACTTCATTCTTCGGTACCTGAGCTGATTTGGACCCTGTACTTTGCAGTATTTCTGGGATAAAGGAAAATAACAGAATCGAAAGGTTGATGGGTACGGTTCTCTACCGAGGATGGGACGTATTATTGTTTGCTGCTGAACCCTTGACTTGGACTGGTTCATGTGGCCTGCATTCTCTTGGCTTTTGAGACTGTTGCAGAGTCGCAAGCGGCTGGCCTGATTTTGAGTGACTTTCATTTTCTTTGTTCTCAGGTCGAGATGCAGCGAAGTCATTGCTGGCTAGATACGATCGGAGGGAAGCCAGATATGACTCGAGGTCGCTCGTGATCTTGACGGTTGACATTCTGACGCAGGAGGCAGGCATATACTTGTTGGAACCTTCAACGAATGGGGATTTCGGTAGCGGTATGATCCAGGGATGAACTTGGAATTGATGTTCAAGTTGCGTTTTGTGTTACGGACTTTCCTTCTACTTGATTAGCATGGCGTTCAGAGTTGGTTGCAATGGCTTGCTTGCGGTTCATGTACTGAATGCTATACAGCCTTGGCCTTGTTTTGGTGATTTGATTGCATTGGGCCAACCGCAAGAGGGTCCAAGTCGTGATCGTCTTCTCGAAAATGTCGCTTAGGGAACAAGGTCTTGTGAACAGCTGTTCCAGATTTTGCTTGGGGAATGGGTTGGCGCATGGGCTAAACGAGCACGAGACGATTTGTTCGCAAATTTTCTTTCCTACCAGGACGCGATATGTGAAGGAAGAAGACCCGGCTCTGATTCAATAAGCAGGATGGAATTGGATTTCTCTACAACGAAGATGGATCAGCTCTGATAGTGGTTTAAGAAGGGTGCCATTCCACAAACCTGTTGATATATATAGCATCTGATCTCCTGCTGGTCACTGAAGCCGACCATAGAAGCACCGAAAATCGCTCCGTGAGATATCTCTCTAGGGACGAGGGATCTTCTAGACTGTCACCTCTTACCGCGGACACTAAAGACCGGAGATTTGCATTTATTGCCTGTCGAGGGTCTCTGGCATAGGGTGGTCGTGTTTTACCAGCAATAGGTATTGATCAGTCGGATAAGCAAGAGTAAGAAAATTAAAAAAAAAAGGAACCCAAGAGGCAACGGGGGAAGTTCCTTCTTTTCAATGATCGTCCAGCCCCCGCTAAGCAAATCATCCACTAATCTCGGGTGGGTAGTGATTTATGGTGTCATGCTTCGGGGTCTGATATTAGTTGATGACTGACTAGTCTAACTAGGATAGTCCGGGACCAAGGGAAGTGATTCGCATAGTTGCATGCAGGATGGTTGGTTCTGTTTGGGTTCTTGAATCCCATCTTTGTGAGCGGGGTTAGAATCTCCAGACTCTTTTTCCTGATGATGTGGACCGATAAGGCAGATGGACGCAATTCCTGGGCTATCTGGTAGATTTGAGAGGCTTATGGTGACATCACTATCCTTTGAGATGATTGCATATTGCCATGTTCATGTGTTGATTGCTGGATGGGGTGAGAATGCTGGATGTGGGATATACCTCTTATGGATGATGTTATCTTGGTAGGGAGTAGATACCTTGGCACATAGGAAAGACTAACCGATCCAGGCAAAATTGTCCAGGACTATAAGTGTGTTCCATGGTTTCTGTTACGGTAATTTGTAAGGTGGTTTTACCTCCCTTGAAAGGTAAGGTAGGTAGATAGATAGAAACTCGGTCGATACCTTAGGTTATCCATTACCATACCAGTTGACAGTTGATTGTACGGTTACCGATAAGTACAGAGGAGCGATTCAGGGACTGATAGATAAGGGAATACCCCTCATCCCTTGACCCCTCACGCATTTGAGATTCTCTGCTGGAGTAGAGAGGTACCTCGAGACGAATAACCAACTGGAGGAATCGTATCCGACTGAACCTCATAAGATCTGGGATTCCGTGAAGAGTTGTTGCTGCGCTCCCAGTGTGGTAACTGGATCCGTTTGTTCGCATTGCTATGCTGTTCTATCCTTGTAGAGGGAGGAAGGAACCTGGAGGACAATGACTTGGAAATATTCTATATCCTATATATATTGAGAGATTATAACCAAACGAAGCATCGTCGCTTTGTTTATCTCAACATACAGAGTATAGAACAAGCACATCGCTACGTTACTCTCACACATCACCAACATGGCCGTCCCGTTCAGATACCACGCCAAAGCCCAATCCACCTTTAAGCCGCCCCTCATCGCAAACGAGAATGCCTTCCTGGGCGATGTATACTCGAGGTATTTGCAGCACAACCCAACTGAACAATTCCTTCACTGGAACTGACATGGTCTACTCCGTAAAGCGAGAAAGAAAACCCCGACAAACCCATCTCGGCCGGCTTCTACCGCCTGGAAAAAGGCACCCCGCTGGTGTATGAATATACCTACGACGAGATGAAGATCATCCTTGAGGGGCAGTTTGAGATTGCGGATGAGACGGGGCAGAAGGTGACTGCTTTGCCGGGGGATGTGTTTTATTTTCCCAAGGGGGCGAAGATTACGTTTACGACGGAGACGTATGGGTTGGCGTTTTATGTGAGTTTCTTTCTTGGTGGTTGTGGTTGGGTTGCTATGAGATACTAACTACTACTGTCTTTGTAGACTGGACAGAGGAAGCAGGGAGGTGCCTAAGGTTACAAGGTAGATGATGAGATTGGTTTATTGGTCGGGTGAAATTTCCTGGAGAGCATGGACTATATCACGTCATCAACTAGATAACTTGAATCAACAAGATCTCAATCTCAATTCTCAAGACTCTGGCAGGATGCTTCCATGTTTTCCTGTAAAGGATCTGTGGTAATATCCCGCTGTCCCACTAGTCTAGCACCTAGTGACGGTAGAACCATGGAACTGCCATGCTCAAAAGAGTAATTTGCTTATGCGAGGTACTTGGTGTAAACAAGGAGAAGTGTCGCATCAGGCTGATTTCTGGAGAAAAACCTGTTGGAATGCCATTCATTCTTGAATGTGACTAAGTCTAATACTAGCAACTGCGGTATCAAGAGCATACTTAGGAATGTGATTGTCTCGGCAATGAATAGGCAAGCAGGGATAAACAAAGCCATTTAGACATCACAAGCATCCGGATGAAAGATCTCATCCAGACCCCGTCCGCGTCGATCCAGCCCATTTTGTCTAACAATTAGAGGATGACTTGCAGGATGTTCCCGTATTGTTACTATCGGACGGATCCTGGCACTCTGTAGTACGAAACCCGCCAGAGAGTAAACTCCAAGACTGGAGACGCCATGATCCATCCTGATCCCCCAAGTCCCTCAGCACTCCAATCACAAGCACCAGCGACTCCGATAAACTCGTCCCCCCTGGAATCAAGGCAGGGGTCAATCACTAAATCTGTGCTCATCGTAATTGGGATCTTGAGGGATCGTAGCCTTATGCCTTGGACAAGGGAGTTACCGGGGCAACTGCTATGCTAGATCAGGAAGAGGGGGAGGGATCGAGATGACTCCATCAACTCGGAAGCTTCTCAATAATGGCTAGTGAGATCCAGGTGGATGGGTGGCTGGCTGTGAAGCATTCATAGGTACCTACAGTAGCTGAAGCATCATCAGCAGTCGAGGATGAGACAGATAGTTCTTGCAGCAGTGAGCTGAATCAGGCGCAACAGACATTCACAATCCTTTCAACGGGCGAAGGGCGAATCACGTTGTCTTCCTCGTGTGTCTGACTCTCTTGTTGTTGTCGCTCCCCTTTCTTTCTTTTCTCCTCTTTTTCTTCCTCCTTGATTCCTCACTAGATGAGAAACAAAGCCATTATTCCCTCCACTTGACTACCGACCGAAGCTCCCCCCGGAAGTGGCTCATTTCTTGTCCTCAACGTCTCTTCCTTCCTGTTCCTGTCTATCACTTTGCTTTTTCCTTGGCCTCGTACTCCGTCAACACTTGCAGCTTCTCTCTCTTCTTTCTTTTCCCTCCTCCTCCTGGCTAGATTCCTCCAGACTACTGCCCGACTGCCTTAGCTTCCTTGCTCCCCACCGACCGACACGGATAGCTGCCATACTGGGCTCTAGTCTACCCCATCGGCGGAGGAGTCTCGCCTCGCCCTTATCGCCTCAGCCACGTCGACGAGATCGCTCAGATACATTCACCTCTGACACTGGTTGACTTTTTCTCCCTTCTCTCTTTCTTCCTTCCTTTCCTTCTCCGCCCTCTCATACTCGCTTGGCGACACTTGCGGCCATGATGACCCTCGATACCCCTCGTGAATCGCCAGAGCGTCACGGTCTCCGTCTCCCAAATCCCCCTCCTCTGTTGCATACCCGATCGGGCAATGAACCTTTCGATCGCCCCTCCACACCCGCAGAGAATGGCTTCACCAGTCCTGCCCAAACCCCGCAGGGCAGTCCCAGCAAGAACAGAATGCCTCCTGGCGCCATTGACCTGCCCAATGTCTTCGAGAAAGCGATGAAGCTCACTCCCTCCTCTCCCACCAAGAACACCTACAACCATTACAACCATCCCATGTTTGCTCCACCGAAGGGAGCGCTGGACGACTTCAGCGAGAGTGTCATTCGCCAGTCACCAGGGAGCCCCACGCGCAAATCGAACAAAGAAAATACACCCCCGAGTCCTCTCAAAATAGCTAAGGATCTAGGCCCCAATCCCACCGCCGCCGCAATCTCACGCCATGAGCCATATCAGCAGAGAGATCTGGATACTCTCCAGAGGCGTCAGGTTCAGATGCGCGGCTTGACGCCGGAAGAGATGGAAAAGTTGCAGAACCCCAGAGTGAAGCGCTTGGTCAACGTGACTCAACTATGTAAGTGTATTTCCAGTGTGACATTCTGCGCATAGATGTCCGATTGGCTTCAATTCACTAACATGCTCATTTCTTCGCCTAGACTTCCTCGACCATTATTTTGATTTGCTCAGTTACGTTCACAACCGCCAGACCCGCTATTCCCAATTCCGTGCCGCCTACCCCGACCCTCCTGCGACGCCGATTGACGATTACGAGCCAGCCCTCCTCAAGTATCTGGGTCGCGAGCGCGCCCATCTTCGCAAGCGTCGCACCCGTCTGCGCCAGCACGACTTCCAGATTCTGACCCAAGTCGGCCAGGGGGGCTATGGACAGGTCTATTTAGCACAAAAGAAGGATACTCGAGAGGTGTGCGCGTTGAAAGTCATGAGCAAGAAGCTTCTGTTTAAGCTGGATGAAATCCGTCACATCCTGACCGAGCGAGACATCCTAACAGCGGCCAAGAGTGAATGGCTCGTCAAGTTGCTCTACGCTTTCCAGGATGATGAGCAGATCTACCTCGCAATGGAGTATGTGCCGGGCGGTGACTTTCGCACCCTGCTCAACAATACCGGCGTCTTGCACAATCGCCATGCCCGATTCTACATTGCGGAGATGTTCAGCTGCATCGACGCACTCCATGCATTGGGGTACATTCACCGCGATCTCAAGCCAGAGAACTTCTTGATTGATTCAACCGGCCATGTGAAGCTAACGGACTTTGGCTTGGCGGCCGGGATGTTGAACCCGGGAAAGATCGAGTCTATGCGTGTGAAGCTGGAGGAAGTCGGCAATACCCCGGTTCCCTTTGGTCGCCCGATGGAGCAGCGAACTGCAGCCGAGCGTCGTCAGGGATACCGTTCGCTCCGAGAGCGCCAGGTCAACTATGCCAAATCGATTGTGGGGTCGCCTGACTACATGGCGCCCGAAGTATTGAAGGGTGAGGAATATGACTTTACGGTGGACTACTGGAGCTTGGGGTGCATGCTCTTCGAAGCCTTGGCTGGATACCCACCCTTTGCCGGCGCCACGGTCGATGAAACGTGGCAGAACCTGAAGAATTGGCAAAAGGTACTCCGGAAGCCTGTATACGAGGATCCCAACTATTTTCTTTCGCGACGAACCTGGGGTCTCATCACCAAACTCGTGGCGTCTAAGGAGAACAGGGCCAAGAGCATCCAGGAAATCCATGCGCATGACTATTTCAGTGAGGTTGACTTTAGTCGCCTGCGGGAGCAAAAGGCGCCATTCGTGCCAGAGCTGGATTCAGAGACAGACGCCGGCTACTTTGATGATTTCAGCAACGAAGCAGACATGGCCAAATATAAGGAGGTCCACGAGAAGCAGCGTGCACTCGAGGAGATGGCGGAAAGAGATGAGAAGATGAGCAAGGGGTTGTTTGTTGGGTTTACATTCCGGTATGTTCCACCCTATTCCGCTGGAAAAAGACGTTTATGTTCCTGACAACTATGACAGTCATCGCAAACCCGCCGTGGATGGGACAGGCCGAAGCTCGCCGCGGAAGCCGATTGCAACCGACGGGTCGTTTGGAACCATGTTCTAGACGAGATGACCCTCCGCAAATTTCCTTTTCTCCGCATATGACCGGATGCTGGCATCGAGCTGGATCTCGAATTAACCCTGATCAAACTGGTTTTGCGACTTAACGAGCGAATGCGTCTCTTAATGGTTTTCTGTATGCATTACTCATCGGTCACCAAATGGGCCTGGGATACATGGGCTGGAGTTGTGAGTGTATTGATTATTGCTTGTATGATACATAGAAAGCCGGTATGCCTATGAGTGGGAGTCAGGTTGAAAACAATAGTCTCTATTTGATTTTTCTTTTCAGATTTTCAGATAATGCCGCCCGAACTAATCCACGTCCAGCTGATGCACCGTCTTGAGGATCTCCGATTCATTGTCCCCAAGAACCGCCTTGCCGTGCGTCCAGTCGACAGTCTACGTAGCGTAGTTCATTGTCAGCCATCCCGTTACACCCTTGAGAACAGGAAAAAAAATAAAACAAAAAGGAGAACGAAAAGAACCTACCACCGGCCTCACAAACCTCCCCTGATCCTTCTTGAACAACTCCAGCGCATCCTTCGCGTCCTTCGCCCCCTGCACCAGATCCGACGGCTTCACACCCCCGCCCACATAATCGAGGATATTCCGCAGCTGGTCCGGCGTCGGCGGCGCGGTCGTCACCTCCAGCTGGAACTCGCCGCGCTGCCGCTTCGCGTGCTCGATGTAGTCGCTTGCCTGGTCCTCCGTTGCGGTCTCGGAGGCGACCGCCGAGGCTTGTTTGAGGATGGTGAGGGCGCGTCTGGAGGGGGCGAGGGCTGGGCTGTGGAAGAGGGTTATCGGGTCGAGGGATTTGGGCTGCGTGGGTCGATTGGTTAGCTGTGGGTTCTGAAGATGGGTGAGGGGGGACGTACGAAGCGGAAGACCATTTTGGGATTGGGTTGGTTTGGTGAGATGTTGGTTTGTGTGTTTGTGTTGGGTATGGTTTGATGGATGGTACGGAGTAGGTAGTTGAGGTGAGGTAAGGTAAGGTGAGGTGGTGGTGATTACGTCATGGGGTGGGTGGTCATAGCTTTTGGTACTCCGTATGCTTAGGTACAGGTACAGGTACGGCCATATTACCAGTGGATGGAAAGTGTTAATGAAGCGTTCAATTGAATACAATATCTACAGTATATTTATATTTACGGACTTCATCAATCGTAAACATGAACATGAAATGAACAAGGTATCACCAGCCGAATGTTTCGACGTGTAGGTAGATGCCCTGCGCGCCGGTCCCCTTATGGACCGCCCGTTCGTCGCTGAGATACACTACGCTGCGTCGGACGTCGTCTGATAGCCCCTCCGGTCCGCATGCGACGACGGCGCTCTCGCCTTCTGCCTTCTCGAGGACCTTGCGGATGATGGTGCGTGGCTGCGGTCGGCCGGATAGGAGGTTGAGATGGTGGGGTTGGGTGGGTTCTGATGGCGCTGATGCTTCGGGTTGAAGTTTTTCGTCGGCGTCGGTCGGAGCCGTTGAGGTTGGCTCCGAGGGTTGCGATGCCGGAGCGTGTCCGGAACAGGTACATCTGTGTTCGTTGATTTTGTCTTCGTCTTCTACCGCAGCTGTGCAGCAGCAGCCTCCGCCGGGTAGGCAGCCGCTTGTGGTCGCGGGATCTTGTCCGCTTGAGCTTGACGCGGAGAAGGAGTGGATGGAGGTGTTGTCCTTTTCGGAGAATTTCTCGTTGCGGGGTTCGATAGCCTTGGGGGTCTCGGTTGGCGAAGATGGTGGCTGTAGACAGGCGGTTCTCGGTGGCTGCTGCTCCAGCTTCTCGTCGCAAGTGATGTAGATGCTCACTTCCAGTTCTCTGACCATGTCGGGCTGGGCCCGTCGGCATTCGTCGACGTCAGATAATACAGACTGGATCTGAGTCTCGAACCAGCTGAGTTGAGCGCGGGACTTGATCACCCACACGAATCGAATTCGCTTGGTTGCGGCAAGGCGACGCGTGAAACTTCCTAGACATTCTGTTTTCCACCCTGCAACGATGTCTCGCAATAGTGGAATGGTGAAATTGGCCCCCGTGCCGCCTGCAAGGAGAACGACGCTGTCAAATTGCCTCAAGGGTCGGATTGTGCCGTATGGACCATCGATTAACATTGTACGAGGTCGCTGCGCAGGTGAAGGCTCTCCGGACCCAAGGACATGATGGTGCTTCGAGGCGTAATGGAAGAACCGCCTTGTACTGCCCTTTTGGGCGCGCACTAAGAATTCCATCTTGCCGTCGTCTGGGATCGAAGCGATGGTGAACGGGTGACTCTGGAGAGGCACGATGGAGTGGCAAGTGAGAAACACATGCTGTCCGGGCTTCCACCGAACACCAGGATTCTCGATTGTAATTCGAGTGACGTTGCCTGGTAATGGAGTGAGAGTTGCGAGGTTGGCCCAGAGAGAATGCTGATTTGGTTTCGACGCATGGAAGATCGACAGGTTGGCATAAGTTGCCCACGCATACCGAGCTACCCGATCAAACACCAGAAATCCTATGGAAATCCACACCCAAGCCTTGACCTCTGCCGGCGCATGAAGCCAGACTGCAGCAATGAACCCAACGAACGTTACCAGATGCTGCAAGACGAACAATTCGTAGCTCAGTCTTCGAATTGGCGCCGCTGATGAGATGACGATGAATGTCAGAATGCACCATGCAGCAAATCCTCGTTGTGTCAGCACGTCATGCCGCAGCTGATAGGTGATATAGTCATATCGGGCCCAGTTTCGGAACCAAAAGCCCATGTGAATTGTCGCTGTCAACCACAGAGTCCTAGAAATCCAACGGTGGAACCAGTTCAGGCGCTCATAGCTCAACCCCACAAATAACCCAATGATGTTTTGTCTTCCCGCCAGCAGAAAGATCAAAGGCAGCTGGGCGATAGCGACAAAGCCGGTTCGGTAGCCGACGTCTTCCCATTTCCATTTATCCGTCGTATCCAATTTGTAGAAGCAGAAAACGAGGACCACTACGAGGTGGGCCAGGATGATGGCCACCGGTCCCAGAGGAGCAAAGTGAAACGATCGCCCGCGAACTGTTATCGGAGGCAAGGTCGCATAGCTCGCTTCACGAACCACAGCTGTTAATGTGGCATAAAAGCTGAAAAAGAGCGATTTCGGCTTGGATGGTGTGAGTGTGGAATCGCGTAATCTGGTTCGAATTAAGCAACCGGGGTTTTCAGAGCTTCTGAATCGACTCTGCAACCCACCTTTGGTATGCTAAGAAACGATTAAGCACGTTGGCAACGGTTCCAACAGCAATAGCACTACCGACAACAGCCCAGTACATTCGCTGAAGGTAGAACAGGCCTGGCACCCCGTCGCCCATGGACATATTGCCCATGGACATATGGCCCATGCCATCCATGTCTGCTGTGTCGAAGAAACCGGATACTTTATGGAAGCGAGGAAGTCGGTTTGCGCTGTGCGACGAAAGATGTCCTATTCTCAAACGAAATGGCTGGCTGTTCGCTTCTCATTGCATCTCTAAAACGTGGCAGTGGTTGTATTCGGTATGACAGCGAACATGGACGAGGTTGTAACTGCTTGAGCTGTCCGTAGTCGTCGTATAGATTCAATATTTCCGATCCCGGGAGTCTCAGCTTGATTAGGAGTTTTTCAAGACTGCCATCACAAGCATGACAGCGAGAAAAAGCGTTCAAGATGAAAATGTCAAGAATGCGTGGCGTGGCATACTGACAGCCAACCTTAAGGTAGCCGAGAGATAGACTCGGAAAAAGCCTAACAGTAATCATAGATAATTTATCACCACAAGCTGCACAAGGTAATAATCTGCTCATCTTGGGCAATCTAGATCTGATGATGTTGCGGAACAGACAAAATACTCAATGCTGATTGGGTGCAGGCCTCGAAAATGTGCTCAACCCGCCCACTCACACCATTCTAAAAACATAGAAACATGCTCAAGGCTTCAAGCATCCCCGCCGCCAGAAGGGGGAAAATGTGCTCTAGTGTGTCTGGTCAATGGATCCATTTCAGAATTGATAGCTTTAAAGTTGCTGTGCTCGCAATATTTTCGTCACCATGTTACTACTCGTTGTTGTCCAGCTTCACCTTCCCAAGACCATAACCACTTCTGCAGTACGATCCTCGAAGCACGAGGATTGATCAATCTCTCTGGTTATTCCGCAAGCATTCTATCGGCGCAAATACTACATAGACAGCAGACATGGACATGGACATGGACCACTCGAGCCATTCAAGCATGTCTTCCTCTTCATCAATGACCATGACTATGGTCTTCTTCAATAGTCATGATACTCCGTTGTTCTCGTCGGCATGGACACCGTCTTCTAGCGGTGCTTATGCAGGCACCTGCATCTTCCTCATCATCCTGGCTATCATCAATCGGTGCTTAGTCGCTCTCAAAGCCTCCATGGAACACTACTGGTTTGCCGCTCATCTCAATCGCCGTTACGTCGCCATAGCGGGGAAGACATCCGAAGCCGGTCGTATCGACACAGACCCTGACGCGAAGGTCGCTTCTTTGATAACTGCTCAAGGTGTGGAAGAGTCGGTAAAGGTCGTGCGACGAGTTTCACGAGAGCCTGTTCCCTGGAGGTTCAGTGTCGACCTTCCACGGGCAGCCATCTTCTTGTGTATCACAGGCGTGTCCTACCTCCTGTATGTTTGATGCGCTCTCTCTTTTCTCTCCTTGCGGGACTCCTGGCTAACTTCACTTCCAGCATGTTAGCCGTGATGACAATGAATGTGGGCTATTTCTGTTCCGTTCTTGCCGGTGCTTTTCTTGGAGAGCTGGCGGTGGGGCGGTACGTTCAATGGGACGAACACGACCACTAGAATGATACGAATGTTTTAAATGTCAGTTCTGGATTTAGCAACGGCGTCATGGAGTTCAACGACAACATTATATGGTATTATCAGCATTGGCCTACCTACGATTTAGACCTCGACATCATCTACTTGCTTTTATCTCAACGCCTACTATCACTCGGACAATAAAATACACCAGCCACTTCGCTTCTTGAAAGGATGTGTTACACTTGTCTCCCTCCATACAAGGCAGAGACTGAGACACGAAATTCAATGATACATTCGCATTCCAACCACCCTCAAGGCACAATGTTGTAGCTTGTATATAGCCGCTAATTGGGCGCGCTGCTGTCCAGTTTTAACCTGATCTCTAGCTGTATCCTGCTCACTGTATGTATCTTATTTTTTCGCCAATTCCACCCGCAGAAAATGAATGCTGGGCGATGGCAACTTCGCAAGTTCGCATCCATTCCGGGCATTCCCAGATTCCAAAGCAATCTCCAACTCCAAGTTCTTGGGGCTTGACGGGTTTCGGCAGGTGTAACCTGAGTGTCGACAGTCATTGGCCAATTCATTTGAATCGGCGTGCAGGGTCTTGGCGCTAGCCCAGATAAGGTTAAATAATTTGCTCATTTCTGCTCAGATTGCAGCTCTCCAACAAATTTATGTGGGGCTGCTACGTCTGAGATACAATACACCAACCCAGCTGGGAAGCTATCATTGATAATTCCATGGTAGAATCATAGAAGCGAAAAAGTGCCCCGGATTCAATTTATATAGATAGAGCCCGTTAGAGGAATGGAGCAAGTTCTTGTCGAATATCAGGGCTAGACTCAGGATTAATAAAGGAAGATGCTTCATGTGGAATTGGTGGCTTGGCTTGGCCTTCCAGCTCCGCGACTTCCATACAATGACTGGATCATTTGTGCTACCTTGTATAAAGAGTAACTGGGTATCCTAGTGACACTGAGAGCTCCTACAATTACACAATTGCTCTAACTATATTCACTTCTGGGAAGACATCAAAATCCTATTTCTCTCCCCTTTAAAATCCCCTCCTCTTCCCTAAGACCTCGCCCGCCTATCACCTCACCATCTTCATACCCAGAACCATCAACATCAGAGCCACCATGAAGTTCTCTCCTGTTTACCTGCTTTCCCTCGCGCCAATTGTCGCCGCTCACTTTACACTCGAATATCCCACGAGCCGCGGCCAGGATGAGGACAAAATGCCTACCTTCCCCTGCGGTGGCCTGGCCCAATCCACCAACAGGACTCAGGTGTCTATCTCCTCTGGCTCCTTCCCTGTGGCCTTGAGAATGGGTCACGATGAGACTGCTGTCGAGGTCCTCTTGGCTCTTGGAAGCGATCCCGGCACCAATTTCAACATCACTCTCCACCCCACTTTTCGTGTTGAAGGACTGGGCCAATTCTGTCTACCTCATATCGTGTTTGATGAGTCTGTGCTGGGCACGAACATCACCGACGGCATGAATGCGACTCTGCAGGTGCAGAGCAATGGTGATCCTAGCGGGGGTCTCTACGCTGTATGCTGATTGTCCATGACCTGAGTGAACGACGAGGAGCAGCAGACTGACAACTTCTAGTGCGCCGACATCCAGTTCTCTTCCACCACACAGTATGAAGAACCCTCGTCGTGCACGAACAACACTGGCATTAGCGCTATCGCATTCACTGGTGCCGCTGCCCAGCGCAATGCCAACGAATCCACTGCTGAGGGTCAAGCACAGAGCGGCAGCTCCAGCTCCAGTTCCAGTTCCGGCTCCAGCTCCGGCTCCTCGCCTTCCCAAACTTCGAGTACTACTGCATCCTCGACTGCTGGCGCTGTCGCTCTGGAGACTGCCGCCTGGGGAATCTTGGGTGCGGCCGTCGTTGGTGGTCTTGCCGTTCTGTAGATGATTGAACTATACATTATGAAATGATTCATGCGTCTCAATGGACTTTGTGATAGTGATGGGTGAAGATGAATTGATGATACTGCATATCCAACTGTACCATACATACGTGCTTATTTCTGGCATCAACAAATGCACATATTGAAGGACACATTGTGATACAGCTTTTAAGATAATCTTCTGCTAAACTTTGGCATTATCGTGACCTTATGGTAGTAAAAGTCACGTGTGGTCAAGTCTAGGCTCCAATGAGTGTCTGATTGAGCTCTTGGATTCGGAAACCCGCGCATCTACAAATTCCCGAGTAACCAAGAAACCGTTGGGAGATATAAACTTACCAAAAGATTGTGTGCCAATTCAAATATGGACCAATTTGAGCGGCTGCGTGCAGTCGGTGAGCAAGTATGGCTTGTGGTTGTTGCACCCGAAGGCTGATCATCCTCAGGTCTGTTAGAGAGGTACTCAACAGCGAGACATCATCTCAAATTTTACTTGAATGTGTCTGTGGCTGCTACTTACACTCTTCCAGAAATCTACGATTTCCCTGTGAAGGACTATATATACAGAGCCTGTGGAAGACTCATTGGTCAACATCCAATTCTATCTGCTATTCCCGTGGGCGAAGACACCAAGGAACCTTACTTTGCGCGTCTTCCGGAGATTGATTTGGAGAAGTCGGTCTCCTTTGAGAAGCGCTCCCATGATTTTCCGGGAGCAGATGAGCCAGATGCTGAGCTGGAGACACTGCTGAAGATTCAACACAACACGCCTTTTACACCACCATTACCCTACTGGAGACTCTGTGTGTTGACTGATGCTACAAACGAACGGCGGTTCACGGCTGCTTTTGTATACCACCATGCCATTGGCGATGGAACATCTGGCAAAGCCTTCCACAAAACATTCCTCCAGGCATTGCATGAAACCGCCGCATCAGTAACCCCCGAAGAAGCCAAGAGAGTCGTAGCTTCACCTCAGATACCGCTGCTCCCAAATTCTGAGGCAGTTCATCCTCTCCCGCTCTCTATTCCCTACCTTGCTACCACTTTGTTCAAGGAGAAAGTCTGGTCATGGACAGATCCTGGGCTCTGGACTGGCTCAGAGATCATTGTACCAGTGGAGACCCAAGTGCGTCATATCGTCTTCCCGGAACATGTCACCTCGTCCCTGAAGGACTGCTGTCGTCGGAACAACACTACCATGACCGCAGTGTTGGAAACGGTCATTGCTCGCTCGCTTTTCGCCCGTCTACCTGAAAAGTTCACGAGCGTCAAGTGCACTGGTGCTATGTCCACGCGCAGGTGGATGCCTGACATTATCAGTGATGATTCAATGGGCGTCTGGGTCCAGGATTTTGGGGAGACATTCTCCCGCAATAAAGTGACAGGTGACGGCTTCCCATGGGAGGAGGCGAGGCGCGCGCGGCAAACCATTGAGAATGTCCTGAATTTGAAGGGGAAAAATGCCAGTCCCAATCTTCTCAAATACGTGGATGACTTTCAGGAAGAGCTCTTCCTGTCTAAAGTCGGCAAGGCAAGAAAAAGCAGCTTTGAGGTTTCCAATGTTGGTGTTCTGGCTGTGGATCGCGAACAAGATCCCACCAAACCGCGGATTGGAAGAATGGTCTTCTCTCAGAGTGCCAGTGTCACTGGGAATGCGTTTGGGGTTTCTGTCATCACAGGTGGTGATCGGTGTATGGTGTTGGCTTTTTCATGGCAGACCCATGTTGTAGAGTTGGATTTGATGTCTGCTATCATGGACTCGACTAGGACAGAGCTGTTCAACCTCTGTTCTTAGCTAGATTATATGAGTATTATTGATTTGCTTCGTGCGCCGGTATACTCTAATGTCTCATTCAATGTGGTACACTCCTATCTTTTCCCCCCTACATCGTACTCTGGAGACGAAGGAAGCTGTGCAATAGTTGTGGATTATAGACCACTACTCAGGACCATTCATTGTATCCTGCGAAACAATGCACTGGGCTCCTCCTTACTCTCTCAAGCTGGCGGTAGGAATTGTGTTTGAATAACTCAGGCAAAAGATCTCACATAGAGAATGAATATTGGCTATAAACGAGTGCGACTGGTCCAGGGTAAGCCAAGGCAGAATAACAAGCAAGTTACCTCATACCATCCTTCCATGTCCTGAATACCTTCCTCGCTAGAACAGCGATGAACCACTACAATTGTGCCTTCCTTTCCATCCTGCTCTTTCCACCGCCACATTTCCTTCCTTCTCATCAGAACTCCCATGAGAGTAGTTGCACCTTCCTCAGCAATAGTCTCAATGTCGATAAAACCTCGAGACGATGCCCCCCCTCTTCCCTGTTCTCTTCTCTTTTCTTTCTCAGCGGATTCACACATCATTTAAAGTAAGTATTCTTACTCCCTAAATGGTTCAAGCGGGTTTACCAATATCAATCCTCTCTTTCGGGGTGTCCACCACGCTTAGCGTGCTTCCTGTGAAGGAGTGGATCAAGAAGTTGTTCCCTTGGCTCTGGCCGGACCAGGACACTTCCACTCCAGATCCCGAGTTGGGAGAAGCTGTCGACTCTACGCGCCTTTGGCTCCTAGAGAAGCGTGTTGATAGGTTGGAGGGTACCGATCCAAGCCTGTATCCTCCTCCTCTCAACCTCCCAATGAGGACGGACGCGGGAATGCAACACGGCGGCTGAATGACTCTTGAGGCTTCGTGACTCTGGGGAATACTTTAGTTGCTGTGGGACGCCCCGGAGCCCCCATCCTATACTTCTATCCTTCGAGGCGGCTCACCTTGATGGAGAGGAGTGGGTGGGGTACCATCAGCGACGGGCTCGCACTTCTACGCAGTGCTGGTGACTAGTAACCTTCGGGTGAAGCTAAGACGAGCCCATTCACGAGTATTCGATCAGTTTGGATTTCGGAGGTAGGAAGCGAGGGACATATAACGACCTTTCATGCTTCTGTTTCTTATGGCTGTGTTGAAGCGTTCATTTTGATTAGCAAGGGTGTACCTAAAAATAGCGAAGGACACAACATGATGATAAAATCTGCATTGCCCAAGAACTACTGTTGGTTGTCAGGCCAGTCCCAAATATCTTGTGATCGAGCCTTAAAGTGACAAATCAAACAGTCAATGGAGATCTTTGACTTGGTATTTCCTTTCAGTAAACTTACCAGAAAATCAACTTGCTGTAAGTCTCCTCGAGGACGAGCCGGCATTGCTTATACCATACAAGGTCCGCCGGCCAGTCAGAGCTACCCAGTATCCGACTGACATCCACAACCACTTGATTAGCCTGCAAGTTGGGGGACACTTCCGCCCGAGTATCGCAGAAACATTTGTAAGATTTTTGACGAATCTTTAACAACTCCAGAATCTCCCAATGAGGGCATGCAGGAATAGGGCCATCCCTCAATCGTAAACGGTGGAATTGCGCCTGTATGTGATATTGAGACTGCATTATTAGCCTATCGGACTCCCCAAGAAACAACATGATCTGGAGTTTGGCGTGAACGCGGGCATCATTCAAGACCCAACAACTGTGCGACAGGTATGGCTCTCCCTGCTCGTTGACACCGAGCTGGAACAATCTCCAACGGTCCGGCTTGACGATTGCGTCGTCAGGTGCTCTTCGCAATTTCAAGAGTTTCACGAGTCGTGCTCGATCACGAAATGTGAGCGACAGACAGGGACACAAATCGACAATACCGGCGTACGTCATGCATCGTGTTTGCAGAGGAGGGCTTCTGAGTGAAGATATTGGAAATTCCTTGCGTGGATGTAGCCTTAGACAAGCGCCACATAGTCTCCAGCGGGCGTCTTCGAGCCGTAGAAGAAGCTGATTCCGTGGTATATCCGGCTTGTTTAGACACAGGCGAGGAACTTTGATGTGCAGGAGTCGCGGAAAGCGGAATTCCTCGCGCTCCAAGACAGAACCGAAGAGGTAGAAAAGTAGCTTGCAGCTCAGGGACAGGCAAGCTTGATCGACTGGCTGAAGGAGCTCGAAGATCTCGCGGAGAAGGCACTCAGGTAAGAAAAATAGCGGAGGCTCCTTTCGTACTACACCAGGGTAGGGCAGGAACGACGTGAGTCTGTTGATGTTTTTCCAAAGACTCTGGCAAAAGGACTGCCGCTGATGCCATTCTTCGCCCTTTTCAAACACTGCAGACATGTTGCAGGATTTGATTGTGGGAATGTTAGTCATGAGGTTTGTTGAGCAACTTGTTTCACTGTCCTGGAATAGAATCAGAATACACAGGTGAGGTTAGTTTGACCGCTTTCTTATGAGACGTCTCTTTGAAATGGGACGTTCTAAGGATCTTTTGCTGATATACGACACATGATGAACAAATCAGCCCCTTGAAGCTGTCCATGGGAACGTCGAAAGAGTTACTGCTGGATTGAACCACAATCCCATTCAGCACCATCCAAGGTTGTGGACACATCACTCATATATGATAATACCACAGATAAATCTCAAAAGTGGAGAGTATAAGATCATAGTGCTGTCAATCATGCTACAAAGTGTGGCTGAGATGATTGATAATTTGATATTATTGTCTCCGAACTCACATATATTTACCTTATCTATAGGGCGGTGAGGCCGCATATAACCCCGGCGGCAGAATCGCGGGGGGTAATCTGCCTTGAGGCATTGATTGACGCAACTCTATCCTTACATCTTTCTCACTCTCTACTTAGAGAGCTATCAGTATTTATCGGACTTCTATTGCGGTCTTGCCATAATTTCATTACTCCCAAAATGGCTCCCCGCGCACCGTACATTGTGCCGGCGCTCAAGAAGCACACGGCGACGGTCATCATGGCCCATGGACTGGGCGACAGGTTAGCTGCTGGCTGTGGTACTAAGTCATCGACTCTTGACTGACTTCTACTGCCGGTTCTCTTAGTGGCGCAGGATGGTAAGATTCGCTTTTCGAGGAGATTGTGTCGGAGTGGTCTAGTTGACTCGTTTTATCACGAAGGATGTCTCTTGCTCAGAACTGGCGTCGCCGCGGCATGTTCGATGAGGTGGCTTTCATCTTCCCAAACGCGCCTATGATCCCAATCACAGTGGTATGCTGAGACAATTCACGTATCATACCAACAAGCTGCGGAGTTACTTAATTGTTTTGTTAATACAGAACTTCGGAATGACCATGCCCGGATGGTACGACTTGACGAAGCTTGGTCGCGATGTGAGATACCCCCAACTTACTTTGCCATCCATCGGGATGCGATCTTTTTGCTAACATATTTATTATGATAGCTCGATTTTGAAGAAGCCATTCGGCACCAGGACGAGCCGGGGATCCTTCGATCTCGCGAATACTTCAACACTTTGATCAAGGAACAGATTGATAAGGGCATTAAGCCTTCACGGATCGTTCTGGGTGGCTTCTCCCAAGGAGGTGCCATGTCTGTCTTCACTGGTATCACTTGCAAAGAAAAGCTTGGTGGTGTCTTCGGTCTGTCCAGTTATCTCGTTCTCAGTGACAAGATCAAGAATTACATTGCGGAAGATTGGCCGAACAAGAAGACTCCTTTCTTCCTCGCTCATGGCTTGGAAGATGAAGTCGTGCCGTTCGAGTTCGGTGATATGTCGGCGAAGAAGCTGAAAGAGATCGGCTTGGAGGACGTCAATTTCCAGTCTTATCGGTGAGTTCTCCGCATAGCCGCCGTCTTGAATTGTTCTTTGCTTATTTCTTTTCTTTCAGTGACCTGGGCCACTCTGCCGACCCAGTAGAGATTGAGGATCTGGAGCAATTCCTTCAGAAGACTATCCCTCCAGAGGGCGACGGACAGGCTTCTGCCGGGTTATGACTTGACGACCACGACCATATCCAGACTCAGGTTCCGCAGGAACACAATTGAAATAAAGTCTTGTCTTCGGCGCCGTGATTTTACTGATTGCTATCCTAGCGATGAAATTTAGCGCAAAAGATAGAAGTACACGAGCTGTTTCTGAGAAGCAGCGTTAAGCATCGGCATCCTTTGATTGAGATCTTCGAATGCATTCGCATAGTACCAGAACTTGCTACACTGGACTGGGACGTCACGAAACATCGCTCCTTTGTGACTCTATCATAATCATGGTCTATCGACTGTGTGGCCCCAACTACAACAAGCCGCGCCAAATCACCTACTCGTTACTCATAGCCCGCTTGATCGATTTCTCAATGGCGGATACCATGGCAGCGGTGTTCGCTTGGTCAAACGGAATATGATGCTTTGAACCATGGTCGTAAAATACGGCCTTAGATGGGTCGCATAAACCGTACAGATGCATACTTCCCTTGTAGTACGGATCTTGCTTACCCACAATGTGCGTCGTTGGGATTGTGACGGGGTATTTCCCATCCTCAGCAACAAGCTCTTTACTCCCAGAGCTTTCGTAGGGTGTCGCACCGCAGATGAACACGGCGACCTTAAAGAGAGGCTTCGGACTGGTTTTGGCGTGGTTGGCTAGAAGAGCACATGCAAGTGCAGCGCCCTGCGAGAAGCCCATAACGCCATCAAAGGGGCCTTGCTTCTCGATGATGTCCAGGGTGTACTCGAATGCCCGGGCAAGGTCTTCGCCGGGGTAAACATCGCGGGGGTAGTGGCTGTAGAACGGGCCGTCCAGAACGCCTTCGATTTCTGTGATCTGGGTTAGGGAACTAGAGTTGGAGAAGATTGAAACGCTTGTCATGTCTACGGACCAGCTTCAGGCTTGGAGTTCACTCGTCCATTGACGAATAAAAACTTGTGGCCTTTATTTTCCAGCTCCTGGGTGATTCCGCCTGTGCTTAATAGTTAGTGCATCGATCCATGATAACGACAATCTTCAGAAGATAGCCCTTGGGTGTGGTTCAATTACCTGACTGAATCTCGAAGATCTACCATCGACAGTCAGCCTCCTATTTCTATCATTTGCACTTTCAGATCTGATATAACATACTTCCGCGCTTGTCCCTGCGCCGTGCAGACAAAGAAAGCGCATCTTCTGTCTTTTTTCGATACAGATTGGTGTTGGCCCAAGGCTAGGGGGAGTAGAAGTTAAGGATTATTTATCTTGTTAGCGTATGCGGTAGAGGACAAGGAGTGTGAGCTGGCTGCAGCAGGTGATGGCTGGTTCCCACTGCATGCATGATTATCATAGCCCCATTGCGACCTACGCGAAAACTACAAACTTATGGGTCATCTAGCCAGGTCGCAACATGCACTTGGTGTTTGTGATCCTAACGGCCCATCAAAGGGCTTCCTCATAGGTATAACTGACCAGCTGTTTATATAGTGGCTGGTAGCATAACTGCCGCTTGTTTCAGTTCAACATTTGTGGGCCGTGGGAGATGAGCCTCGGTCGCCGATTCAGAAACTCTGTCCGCACAACCGAAGCATGGTGGTTTCAAAGCTCCATTATCATGGACAATTGCAAACAATTGTGGCGAAAGGAGAACCGTCGAGGGCGGATTTGGTGATCGTCTTTTGGAATAATTTTTGGCTAGGCCGATATTTTCATCCTGCAACATGCCTCTCAACGACCTGGCTGTCGCTGGCTCCTTCGCATCCCATGCTATCCTTCACCCGCTGGATTTCTACTCAAGCGTCGGTCCTACATTGAATGAATTAACTTTTGGTCTTTTGGGCGCATCTTTTGAGCCGAGACGTGATATCACCGATCTCTCCGGCAAGGTGATCTTTGTTACTGGAGGTAAAATTCAATGGCGCCGTGTCCTTCGAGGGTCACCTATGATTGCCATGATTGCTGATTCTTCATGTCCTCTCCGATAGGGAACATTGGCCTTGGAAAAGAAACAATTCTTCAGCTCGCGCACCATCGTCCATCCCGCATATACCTGGGTGCGCGCAATGCGACAAAAGCTCGCGATGCCATCGCCTCCATTCAGGAGCAGCTTTCGACCTCCGTGGACATCAGACATATTGCTCTCAATTTAGCATCTTTCGCATCGATTCGTAGCGCCGCTGAGAGATTCACTTCTGAATGCGATCGCTTGGACATCCTGATCTTAAATGCTGGTACCATGGGCAACCCACCAACCTCCACAGAGGAGGGATTTGAAGTCCAATTTGGAACAAACCATATCGGTCACTTTCTGCTCACAAAATTGCTACTTCCGGTATTGCAAAAGACTGCTGCCAGCGCTCCCGCAGCCGACGTGAGGGTAGTAACTGTGGCCTCCTTGGCCAACTCCGCCGCTCCGTCGTACGATGTCATGACATCTACGGATGCGCTGCTGGCTACTAGTACTTGGGCACGCTATGGCGCTTCCAAGGCTGCCAATATTCTATTCGCCTCTGAACTTGCTCGCCGGTACCCGGAGATCCTCTCTGTCTCCATTCATCCTGGTGCAGTGACCAGCAACCTGTACGAGCAAGCGAAGGCGTCGGATCCCGTCACGAAATACAGCCTTGCTGCTCTCTCGTTTTTCTTTCGGTCAGTCCGTTCAGGCGCTCTGAACCAGCTATGGGCTGCTGGGTTCAAGAGGGAGCTTTTGACCAACGGTGCATACTACATTCCGATTGGGATTCATGCTACGAACAACAAGTATGCCACTGATGCGGACATGGCAAAGAAACTGTGGGAATGGACAGAGGCTCAAATTTCTGAAAAAGCTGCGTCTTGAACATCTCTCAAGCATTTTCCTGATTGATACCATATATATATGCGTGCTCTATATTTTTTTACATTTGCGATATATGTTCAATCTTTCCCCTTGAATGCTTCTATGTCTTTCGCACCACCTCGCTTGGATACTGATCCAAATCGTGATATCTAGTTCGGTTATCACCGCGATCTTTTGAATATGATTAGGCTTAGACGACAGATGGAAATATGCTTTGCCGCTCTGTCTGCTCTGGATCCACGACGCTGCGCGGGGAAGCGGGGAAAATGCCCCTGAGCTGACCTGGCTATCTCCACAAACCTGGTCGCTTCAAAAGAACTTGTCTCTCGTGAGGAGCCATACTGCTAATTCGAAGCATCCCTTCTCTTGATACCTTAATCATTGATCATGGGTCTTCGAGTAATTATCACCGGAGGTTCCGGTAAAGCCGGCCAGCATGTTATCGCAGAGCTCCTTAAAGCCGAACATACAATCTTGAATTTGGATCTACTTCCTTGCCCGAATGATAAAGTCTGCACACTCAAAACCGACCTGACACAGTCAGGTCAGGTCTTCAGTGCCATGTCTGGTCAATTCGCCTTGAGTGAACCGTTTCCACCGGGTCTTCCTCCGACCCCAGATGCGGTCATTCACCTCGCTGGCTACTCGCGCAACATGCTCGCACCTGATGATGAGACCTTTCGGGCGAACACGGTCTCTACGTACAATGTGATCGAGGCCGCCTGTAAACTAGGGATCAGGAAGATCATCATTGCTAGCAGTGTCACGGTGTACGGCGTGTCCTTCGCACTAGGTGACGCAGATTATCCATCATTCCCGGTAGATGAAGAAGTCGATGCGAATCCAACGGATACGTACGCAATTGCCAAAGTTTGCGGCGAGCGGGTTGCAAGGGGTTTCGCGCGTCGATTTGGTGCCGATATTTATGTCTTTCGCATTGGGCGGGTGATTGCGCCTGAAGAATACGAACAACAGCTCTTTCACAGTTACGTCTATGAACCTACCAAATGGAAGGCCCATGGTTGGTCTTATACGGATGCCCGTGACCTAGGTCGGATGTGCGACCTGGCCCTTCAGAAGTCGGGACTTGGGTTTCAGATCTTCAACGCCACGAATGATACTATCACAAGCACGACACCGACAGAGGAATTCCTCAAGCAGCAATGTCCCAATGTCCCATTTACGAGACAGATGGAGGTGTTCGAAGCTCCATTGACCAATGCCAAGATCAAATCAGTCCTGGGATTCCAGGAAGAACACCCGTGGCGCAACTATTTTCCTTTCAAATCGGAGGAGTAAACATATCAGTGGACTATCAGACTTAAACTTCGTGGGATACTCGCTCCCCCGATATGCAATATATGTGATCAACGATTCATGATCAGGTACTGGCGTTTAGGCAGGTAGATGGTGAGATTACCGGATTCGGTAAGTGATGCCGCTTGCAAGGAGTTGAGCGCCACCTTCACTCTAAGAGGCAAGACAACATCCGTGACAGGCACAAACCCATTCCTCTCTGCAGCCCATAGATATTATGAACGATTTCCATGTATAGTATTCTCTAGCTGGGATCAAGTCCAAAAATCTGTTGTGACGCCGAGTCTTGTCAAAGTCGGCCTCGAGATCGTTTAGGGTTTAGCCGAGCAGCCTCTCGATGCTCCCAAGAGCCAAACCCACAACCCAACAAAAGGCACCTCAAGAAGTGATGTTGATGATGATATTGTAGAATAATGATTCAGAACATTGACAATCGTAGCAGGATCATGAAAATCCATCTGTAAGCTTGTAGAGTAAATGCTCAGAAGCCGTCCGATGCAACGAATTAGCGAGCTCGACTCCCCACACAAACCACAACTGGAACTTTCGTGCTCGGGGAGCCGAGATGCGCATCATCAGCAACTTCAACCTCCTCCCACCAGACACCACCTCAGTCACGGTAAGTCAATCCAGACCTCATCTCAGCCCTCGTCCTTCAGTCACCATTTCGACGGTGTTCTCATCAGTCTTTCCCTGACCCGGTACCGCAACCTTCAACCCTCCCGCTTGATCCTACCTCGCACCTCCCCACCAACAGAATTGCAGCCGCACATTTTGTCCCTACCGAGTTCCACAGATCTGGATTATTGACGTCTTCTTTCTAATCACCGCGCCAGATTTAGGTTCTCTATAAACGCACATTATTTCCGTCAAAATGGATCAAGCAAAGCTGGCTAGGATGCAGGCGAGCGTGCGGATTGGTACGTTTTATTCTTTTTCTTTTGGATTTTCGAGGTGCTGGTGTCAGAATCGGTGTTTTGCGGACTGCTTGAGACAAAGCATTTGGAGCTTAGAGGCGCACCATTTGGGCGTTGTGATGTCGCGACTGTCGTCTAAGTGGACGGGTCAAGCGATTTTGGATGACTGACAGCTAACATTTAATTTCTTCTCTTTTAGGGTACGTATAAGCTACTTTCATATCTCTTTTCTCCGTTCTCGAATCATGATCACGGCGACGTCGAGATCCCCTGAAAAAAATCGACATCATGCGAACGACTGACAATTCAAGACTGCGACTAATTTCATCGACAGAGGAAAGGGTACTCCCCGCCGCAAGGTCAAGAAGGTCCACAAGTCCTCCGGTGCCGACGACAAGAAGCTCCAGACCACCCTGAAGAAGATGAACGTCCAGCCCATCCAGGCCATCGAGGAGGTCAACATGTTCAAGGAGGACGGAAACGTCATCCACTTCGCCGCCCCCAAGGGTGAGTACCTCGCTCCAACTTCCCAGCTTCCACCACCGGCTCGAAGGCGAGAAACTGATGAGTAACCGAAATAGTCCACGCCTCCGTCCCCTCCAACACCTTCGCCCTCTACGGTAACGGCGAGGAGAAGGAGCTCACCGAGCTCGTCCCCGGTATCCTCAACCAGCTTGGCCCCGACAGCCTCGCCTCCCTGCGCAAGCTCGCCGAGAGCTACCAGAACATGCAGAAGCAGGCCGGTGCCGAGGGCAAGAAGGACGAGGATGAGGACGATATCCCTGACCTGGTTGAGGGCGAGAACTTCGAGAGCAATGTTGAGTAAATCTCAATTTGACCTAAAAATGGAAGAGACAGAGAGAACCTAAAGACATGATTGCATGCCATGCCTAATTTGATACACAACTCGAACGTGATCTCCAAAAAATAGGACCGAACTTTACCCTCATATGTGTGCAGTTGCGATATAGTGCGATTCTGTTTCTACCTCCTTTGGGTCTGCTGTCGTCCTCGTCGGGATAGGGAACGGCGTTGGGATGCGGTAGATGACAGGATTGAGACTGGATGGATTAAGGGTCGATTGTCTACCGACTCTGAACACAAATGGAATTCGTATCTTAATTCGGAGAGATATGTCGGAGCGTGAACCGCCGAGATTCACTCATACATAGGCGGCTGGTTCAAGTTGGGTTACAGCTGTTGCATGCCAGGAAGATGCTGCACGATCCAGGTAAATTGTAGTTTGATTTGTATCTGTAGTGTAACTATTTGGTGATGTCGATTATGCGATATTCTATTCATCTGTAACAGAGCAACCTTGTGTATTCCACGCCAATAATGCAAATACAAAGAAATCTCAACTCTCACCATAGATTACCGATGTCTCATGAAGACAAAGGCAGATACGAGAACAATGAGATAAAACGTAGCGGGCTGGTATGACGCAAATGAAGACTGGCAAGGAAGGCAAAAGTGTTATCATACATAGTCAGGGTATCCGAGAACTGATAGACATGACACCCCTCTCTTGAATCTCATTCAGGTCGTCAGAGAAGAGGAACTGTATGAGAGTATAGCTGTGCTGCTTCGGAGTCTAGCCACTGTGTCACAGGGATTTCAGCTTCAGATTCAGAGGTTTGATGAATGTGGATGGTGGCGGCAGCAAATGGAAAGGACATCACGATTCCTCCTTTAGTCCACAAATGTCGGTCCCCAGAATCATGTCCACCATGTACCAGAAGCGCCAATAAGCGTTAGATTTATCATAATCGAAGGTTCCATCTTCCCGTAGCTGAGGTCCATCTCCAACAATATCACCAGTAAACCAACTGAGGATAGGGATCGATCGTAATACACGCTCTGTCACGGTTGGCTGCGGCGGAAGCGCTTCTGCGATAGGGCGTAGTTTGGTTCGACGAACTGTGGGGATGTGTGTCATGAATTCGGACTCTGGTTTTGGTTCCTTGACGACATTGCGTTGCTGAAGGGCAGGCGGTTGCTCGACTCCCGTGGCGGTGGCAGAGCTTGCAGTGCTTGTCGATATTTGCGACTCCTCTTCTTCGTGAAATTCGGCTACACCTGACAGATTGTTCATGGCAAACGATCGCGGTAAGGTGGCTGCACGATCTTTATCCTGCGTCTGGAGAAATGTAGTAGAATGAGAGGTGGTCAAGGTGCGCGGTGCTTTCGACTTGAACTGGACGGCTTTTGACGAGTCCACAGGAATCGGTACATCGTCCGCAGGTCCCGAGCCATGATAGAGTTCACAAAAGACCAGATGCCCATCGATCTCCTGGGGGGAGTAGAAGCATGCGCGATCCGCAGCGATAGTCGAGTCAAACGTCACCTTGATCCAGTGGAAACCTCCAGCATAGCGTTTGGATTTGCGGTTCGCATCCGCAGACAGATTGGGCCGGATGACCACGTCGCCACCACTAAGCAATTGTGCGAAGCCACTCGCCGAGTTGGGATCGCTGCGAGGATAGTCCTCACAGATCAAGCCTCGAGAGATCTTCTCATACTTATCGATGACCTTCCACTCACAATCCTTGCTTCTGTAACCGTAAAGTATGCACTCGGTGGCGATTTTCTCGGTCTGTTTTCGTGGGTTGTCAAGGCTGGAGGAGGATGAGGACTTGGGCAGGGTATTGCGACTCTTCTCCTCCTCTTGTTGTTGGGCGAACAGCCGCCCGAACTCTGCTACGTTGGGATTTTCGCGCTTGGCTGGTGTGCCAGTACGTGTACGCGAACGCGCTTGCTCGTAGCGAGCATTTCTTCTCTTGCCAAAGGGGCCGCTTTCTTCAGGTGGTCGTCGTGGGTTGCGGGCTTCACTATTAGAATCAGAGTCCATGTTAGTTACCCAAACCAGAGCGTCAAGGTCCTAAATTGCGAGAAAATAATAGGTTTAGAAAATGATAGAACTAACTCTTTGTATACATAGCCCCAGGGCAAAAGATTCCCCTTGTCATCTTTAGCGCGCTCCTCCGGAGGCACAAAATGGTACTCCATGGCGAAGGGCGGCGGCGGCGCAAAGCTCTGACGCAGAACAAAGAAGAATGTTGGTCTTAGAGTGGCGATCCCGGAGGTCGAGGAGCATAAGGGAGTAAAGGAAGCAGAGTCCTGTCTTTGGCTTGATATTTGTACGTTGTCTATAGCAACACAAGGAGATTTTCGTTGAGATGGATGGAGCTCTATCAAATATTTGGTTCTTGCAATAAACAGTGCGTTAGCCCGGATACGGTCACGTGATTGCGTCATATCCAAGTACACCTACGGAGTATGGAAGGCTCAACTCTTCTTATTCACCGCCCAATTTCGGCTCCTCGGTATAGAGTCTCACATAGGAAACTGATCGGATGGATGCTGGCAAGCCCAAATATAGGTGATCATTGCAGAAAAGGGTTCATGTGTACGCCGCACACTCATACGGCTCTGACCGATCTACATAACTACACGCAGTAAAGCATTCAAGTATTTGAACTGCAACCTGACTTGCCATGCTCTAGTCCTGCTTCAAGAATGTAATATGTCCAATATCACCCTCCAATCCACATACATCACCAAACTCCCCTACTTCCCGTCTCCGTCGCCGTACATAATCGACAAATTCCTCTAATGGGCAAGAAAACCCTGGTCCTGACTTGCAGTATGGTAAAGGCATAGGTTTGTCATTGATGATGACTCGTAGGAATATCTCGTCGGGAGAATCCTGATTATTCGTGATTGATGACTGGCATGCCATTCGTTCGATGACAATTCTGCCTCCCATAGGCATCACCGATGAAGTACGCCAGGTACGGTCCTCGGCAACATGTGTGACTGGCAAGTAAGGATCGTATTTTGAGTCTTGCAAGATTTCCAGAGAGGTGATGAAAGGCGCCATATCTCCGTCATGAACACTATAGGCGAAAATTAGTATAGTTCCTTTCTCAAAATGAATTTTTTTGACGTCTGAAGAAGCACGGGTCGATTCTTCACCATCAGGGCTACCCACAAGCTGAAAAACATGGTGCCAGCCCCAGGACCAGCACGCAGTAGGGCTGTCGTGGCATTGAGCCAGAGCCAACCCATCGCACCAGCATAAGGATTGCCAGGGCCCGCACGATAGTAATGAATCACGTCGCGGGTGTACGCGAAATATTCCCACTCCTTTTGAGTGAATACACTGCACCAGGGACTGGATCCTCGTACGAGAGTCTCAAACCCACACATCTCCTGCATGCTCCAGACCTCCGGATTGGTCAACGGTCCAATCTCCTGGTTCTCTTCCTTGAAGAGGAGTCGCGCTGCTATATCGGGAACATATGTATTTTGGAATTGCGCCAGCATGGTGTAGCCGTTGTCATGGCCGTTCTCGGCGTCTTCAATATACCTTCGGCACGTATCCCCCGGCGTGAGGGTATCCGCACGTCGGTCGAATGTCTCGGGGATAACCTCCAGAATGGCTTTATCACTCTTCTCCCAGTCCAGACCGAAGAGACCGGACGCAAAGTACGCTGCTGTGTCAATGACGCGCTGTGAGTCGCTCGCCCAGATCCGCGTCTTCCGGCCAGGCTGTAGTAGATGCTCATACCGGGTTAGGAAGCGAACACCAGTCGTGAAAGCTTGCAGGGTGCCTGCGTACGGACCGGTTCTGGTCAATTGGTCAAAGTCCTTCCATGGCTCATCGGTGAAGTAGGTCCAGTTGTTCAGGAACGACAATGAGCCGTTCAGAACAACGTTCGCCTCTCTGATTCTGTTGAGAAGTGAGAGATGGCCTGCAGTCACCGACGGTTAGATTTATCCTTGCTAGCATTGACGCCCTCTCAAGGACATTAGTATCATTGACGAGCAGTGACATACGAGCTCCGGCATTTTTTGTCGGATATCGCTCTGCATGGCGTGACATCTGAGCATCAATTAGAATTTGGAGCCAGAACCATGCAAAAGAGCAAAAATCAGAAGAGGCTATACCATATGGAGCTGGTTTACAACGCACCCCTCTGGAGGGTCAATGCTCTGCGACTCGGCAGGTCCATCGAGTTTCTCAACCCAAGGTCCATATCCACCGAGATGATAGAAAAGGCTCCAGTCCCTGTGTGAGCCCTTAGAGGCACCGGAGGTAGAAGGATGTATGCAAGTATTCCAGCTTGGGTAATATGGTGATTGGGAAATACACAAGTGGTTCTTGGGATATATGAGTGGTGAACCATGGCTGTAATATAGGATGCCCGTGAAGGCAGCCACAAAGGGAAAAATTATCGTCCACAATGGACGAACATTAAACATATTATTTAGGAGGTAATCTCTGTAAAGGTTTGAGGCATCAGAAGTCGGATAAGAACACTCGAAAGGATGAAAGAAGACGGCGAAGGTCAAAAAATGCGCATAAACATTGACTTGCCAAGACAGGTCATACCAGATGTGGTGGAGCACAAGACTCGAGTATAGATCGCAGAGATGTCAGACATTGCTCGAACAACAGATTACCGAAATTTGTTGACCATACCGTTTAGCTATCTAGTCGAATTGGATCTCGAAAGCTACATTGGAAAGCAGATTTACGGCCAAAGCGTGAAATAACATCGTCAAGTTGAAAACGCTGCTGGGACGAGATGCCTGTTGCCCTATAATCTAATTTTGTCTAATTTCGTCTAAGATACTCATTCAAAACCTCATATAGCGTATCGGAACCGAGGGCTTTTATCACCTAGCTCCTCAATTTCCTCCTCTGTCATGCCTGCAACCTTCTCGTCCTCAAGACCATTGGCTCTGCGGTTATTCTCATGTTGGTAATAAAGCCACATGAGAGCATACACAATGCCTGCAAACCCGACCAGAGATAGCGTCACGGCATTGCCGCGCACATAACGGGGTGCCTCTGTTGTCCTATACAAGAAGGGCGACATCACCCCGCTGACATTGCCAAAAGTAAGCTGCATACCTGTCGCCAGCGTTCTCTTGCCGTAACGCGGAAGGGTAGTTGGTAACCATGCGAGCGGTAAACCAACTGTCACATACAATCCTAGGGCAATGAGCAGCGCTCCAAAGTAGTGCACGCCGGAAGAGGCATCGGAGATGAGGATCCCGTAGCCGACCATAGAGATGACGCTGAAAATGCAGATGAACAATGCGCGACGCTGGAGTCGATCGCTGAGCCACGCAACAGCAAGGTATACCAGTGCGCCTAAGGCATAGCAAGGAATGGTAAGCGCCTGAACTTCCGGAGTGGACCACGACCCCATCCCCTTGATGATCGTTGGAAGGAAAGTGCTGTAGCCGTAAAGCATAGTATCGACGCCAAATTGGCCGATGCTAAAAGCGTAGATCTTCCAATCCAGAAACCCTTCTTTGACATCTGCCCAGTGAAACTTCTGTGCCGACGCAGTCTGTCCGACATAGCGACTGCGGCGGCGGATAATAAGCGCTCTTTCCTCTTCGTTGAGATAATAGGCTGTGTCGGGTTCGTCTGCGAGAACGAACCAAGTTGCCACACCCAGGATGACAGTCGGGATACCTTCAAGTATCATAATCCATCTCCAACCCCTCAGCCCGCTAACGCCATCCATATAACCGATGCCGTATGCTAGAAGACCGCCAAAGGCTCCCGCAATGGCTGCGCTGCTGAAGAGGTACCCTGTCCGTAGAGCGAGTTCACGTTTTCCGTAGAAGAGCGTGAGATATGTCATAAGACCAGGAAAGAGCCCAGCTTCCACCACACCTACAAAAATCAGCCTTGGCATTGAGGCAGCCTTGTAGCAGTCGAGGTTCTATACTAACCTAGAAGAAGTCGACAGGCAATCAAACCACCGTAGCTTTGAGTGATGCCGGTCAGCGTCGCAATCACACCCCAAATAATGGCAATGGACGCGATATAGCGTGATGGCCTCAGCTTCTTGATGACCAGATTAGACGGTACCTCGAACAGCTATCAACACCACATGATTAGCCACTGGTGGATCAATCCCTGTTGTGGCAAGGATCAAATCATACACAATATGTCACGAAGAGAATAGACACCGCAACCTGGTACTGATTTCCTACCAGGCCCAGGTCCTCTTCCAATCCATATAGGCGAGCATTGCCTATGTTGACTGGTTCAAAAGTCAGTGCATTGATGAGACAGACAAGGTGAGATCCGAAGCCTACCCCTGTCAAGAAAGCTGAACAGATAGAGAAGAACAACGAAAGGCAGGATGTAAAAGTCGATTTTGCGAATCAGAAGCCTTTCCCTCTCCTCATCGAGGATTGAGTTCTCTGATACGCTCTCATTGACCCCAGCCGGCGGTGACTCCACGTCCGCCTTTGATGCCTGTTCATGCACCATTTTGTTGGATCACTTATGGAGCGTCAAATTTCAAGTATAGAGTATCTATATCCTGTAATATATATGGAGGATTACCCTCCCTGTAGAATTGGGTCTGTTAGTGAATTGATGCCTCTAAATGGAAGACAACGGGTATCGCCAGACTATTGTTTACGCAATTGACATAGAAAGGTCCCAAAAGCAGAATTAAGAGTGTGCGTAAGAAATATAAGGGCAGAAGAAATGGCGAAAAAGTCGATGAATGTGTGTCACAGTGGCTAAATGCCAAGATTCCAGACTGATGGGGTTCACGATGCTTATCTATCAGTGACTTTAGAGTTTTGTTTGAGATTTATCTACCCTTACAGTGGCTACTCGATTTTCTAACTAGGGTACAGTGTCGATTGACGATGCAATTTTTCTTTCTCAATAATAAAAAGCACATATCTTGCTGCTATCAATTGGATCAAAGTCATTCTGGGTGATCGCAATATGAGATCATCCCCATGATCTTCGGAGATCTACGTTGGGAGATCAGTGAGGAAACAGATCAGTGAGGAAACAGATCAGTGCGCCCCCGTGTGCCTCACCGACTCTACCATCAATGCCGCGATGAGAGTCAATGCCATGATGGCCATCAACAGTCTAGTGGTGAGTTTGGTGACAGCCTTAAAAGTCTTCAGTCACAGTATCGGAGCATCTGCTACGTTATAATTATCGAACAATGGCTCTGTCTCACACTGTGAAGTCCTGCGAGTATTATGAATCTGGGTTCTGCAGGACTGGGGGAGATAGAGTTCGTAGATTAAGCTGAGTATTGATCAGCTATCATCCTTTGACCTGTAGACATATCATTCTTTTATTTTCAATAGTCGCATGCAGATGATGCTTTGTTTTTCGAGTCTAGCCTTCAACCAAGAACCCAAGAGCCAAGGGACGGCATTGAGCAACTGATGCCTCAGGCAGAACACCCCAGATCTCCGCATATCCAAGCCGAGGCATAATCTCGCTTACGTGGGGGTAATTAAGCGATGACTTGACATCATACCAGATAGAAGCTCGATAATAATGTCTATCCCTGACCCTTGCTTTGTTTCTGTCTCTACAATCATCTAAAGTGTCCTTGGACATCAATCGCGCCCAAAATGCCCGAAAACTACGGAGAGTTTCAGACAGAGATCTATGGCCGTGGAGCTATGATGGGCATGAGGCCCAATGTCACCACCGACCCTCGCCTGCTTGAAGAACAGGCACGCAAGGCCTTGGGAGAGCGATCATTCAACTATGTCGCTGGCGGAGCGGGCGAGAAAGCCACCATGGATGCCAATCGGCTGGCATTCCGTCAATGGAAGCTGTAAGCTTATGCATTCTACTACAACTGATTTGCAACGTAAACGAATTTGAACTAATGCGCAGAAATAATGGTCACTTGTAGAGTACCTAGAATGATGAAGCCGGTTCGTTCCATGCAGTAGCTACTGTGAATGCACCTGTTGGTAACTGATGATACGCTTTCTAGACGGATAACCAGGATTTGTCTGTAAATCTCTTCGGTCAGGAGTATCCGACCCCCATACTCATGGCCCCAGTGGGGGTTCAAAGTCTCTTCCACGACGACAAGGAGACGGGTGTGGCTGAAGTATGTGCTGAGGTCGGAGTACCATACATCCTCAGCACAGCCAGTAGCAGCACTATTGAAGAAGTTGCCGAGGCGAACGGAGATGGGAAAAGATGGTACCAGCTCTACTGGCCTCAGGACGATGATGTGACTATGTCATTGCTCAAGCGTGCGAAAGAGAACGGATTCTCTGTTCTTGTGGTCACACTAGACACTTGGTCCCTTGCATGGCGACCTGCGGATCTAGACAACGCCTATGTGCCTTTCATTAAAGGTGTCGGCAATCAGATCGGCTTCAGTGATCCAGTCTTTCGCGCCAAGTTCGAAAAGGAATCGGGCTCCAAGGTCGAAGAGGATATCCTCGGGGCATCCCGCGCATGGATCGGGGACGTTTTCTCGGGCAGACCTCACACCTGGGAAAAAATTGCTTTCCTGCGGCAGAATTGGGACGGTCCAATTGTCCTCAAAGGCATCCAACATGTGGAAGACGCAAAGCTTGCCTTGAAGGCGGGGTGCGATGGCATCATTGTTTCCAACCATGGAGGTGAGTTGACCCCATCGAAAAGGAGAAGCGAAATTTTCGACATGCTTGCTTTACTCTTTCTGACATTGCACAGGTCGGCAAGTCGATGGCGCTATCGGCTCATTGGACGTGCTCCCTGGAATTGTGGACGCAGTAGGTGACAAGATGACCGTTCTGTTTGATTCCGGCATTCGGACCGGCGTAGACATCATCAAGGCTCTCTGTCTAGGGGCCAAGGCAGTTCTAGTAAGCCGTCCGGTAATCTATGGCCTGGCTGTGGACGGGAAGCAAGGAGCAAAGCAGGTGATGAGAGGGCTCCTGGCCGACCTGTGGCAAAGCATGGGATTGGCCGGTATTTGCGGGATTTCCGAGTGCAACAGGGATAAAGTCAGGAAAGTTCAGTATCCCGGGGACCTGAAGGCGATGATGTGATATCGGGAAGCTATGCTATTGGCCTCTAGTTGTAGATATTGGATATGCATGTGTCGTGGACATCGTTCGAGACTGTGCACATACCGAACATTTTCATATCTGTCATAGCGTTAGAAAAGAATGAATTACTATTCGCGATTTCAGATACTTCGCATGACATAGACAATTAGATAGGGGTGGGATTGTAATGATGAACTGTCACCACCTACTTCCTGAGTTTTGAGTTGACGGCCTCCGACCCGCGCTCTCTTGTTGGGAAAAAGACGGAATCACATGTCATCCGCCGGCGCATCTCAACGAATCAACCTCCAAACGCGAGATACACTGGCCGTTGACTCGTTGCTTCCCACCGATCTACGCGTTGGGCGTTTTGTCTCCAGGGACAGGCTCTTTTGAGTTTCTGACGCAACTTCTGAGTATCTACCGGCTTGGCAACATGCGTTCATGTCTTATGTCAACCCTGGTTGAATGTCGCATTACGTCGCGAGGCTGCCATGATCTTGACACGCCTTTACAATAGATGAATGCACATTAGACCCATGTGTCTACCCTATGGCTCGGAATGTCACGTTTGCTCGGTTTTGGATCATTTTTCGGCGAGCAAGTTGAAGTTGAAGGCGATATTGAGCAGGCTTTGAATCGTGATGATGGCGCAAGTCATGTGCCAGCTACTTCAGGGGCTACTCTACTCCCACGGCCAGTTGCCTCTGCTTTGTCAATCTTGACTCAATCGACCTCATTGTCTCTGAAGTTGGGGAGTTTTTTCGGCGGCATTGCCCTTGAAGGAGCGCGAGTCACGACGCTGACAGGATTGGAACTCAGTAGAGCAGTCATTGAGGGGATTCTTACAAGAGCCGGGCGGGATATTGCTCTTCGAAGCAGTGGAGAGCGCGGGAAAGTGGAGGCGGAGTCGTTACTCGAACGAAGTGTATGCTGAATTATGCTTTTTGCTTTCTACCCGTTCATCAAGCTGATATCGGATCCAGTTGGCTGCCCTGCACACCACAGTCACCTCGGCCTCGTTCTTTGCAGCCGTAACTTTCCATTTCTCGTCAACAACACTTTCCTCTGCTGCACATGTGTCTCAGGCCCTTTTGTCTACTCTTGATGCAATCCTTGGCTCGACTGAATCTTCGAGAGCCATTGCGGCTATCATAACGCTTATTCGACGGGAGTTCAGAAGTCCCAATGCTGAAATCGGTACCGACAATATCGGTGTCGGCGACCTTCTCGTCGGAACTGTCGGCTTTGCGATGCTTCAAAGATGGGGGCGGAAAAGCACTGAAAGGCATATGCGCCTCAACGGCGGTCATGAGACTGTTTGGGATGTTGTGATCTTAGACAATGGCGCAAGGGCCGACGTCATTGGCACTCATCCAATCGAGCCCGCAGGAAATTCTCGGAGCGCGTTAGGTTCTGCGACTAGACGATCATCTTTCATATCGCCCGGCAACGAGGAGGAAAATTTCGATGCTGTGCAGCGGCCATCGAGTGTGGTCGAACATTCTGAGGTGCCCCAAATGTTGCTTCCAGCTAGCGATCAACAAGTCTCTGACGAAGACATTCGCCTACACATAATGAGGCAACTTCCGCGGGGTTGTCGTGCTTCAATCAAATCCGATGTGGTCACCACGCGGACCATAACTGTCGATATCTATGATGACGACAATGCCGAAATTGCTGCTCCTCCCGGGATGATGATGGTTGAGGAAAGATTTCACAATGACCGATCGGATGAAAACGGCGGTCTTTCTACTATGCACCAACTACCCAAGCACACTGTTGTCTTCAGGACTGCTTTCAATAAGATACAAAATGCGGATGTCAGGCCGTCTCACAGGCCTGAAACCCCCAATTCGCGAGGGCCCGGGAATGCGATCGATACGAAAAGACTTCCTGCATTACCAGCCACCTTGCTAGATGTCAAGACGCCAATGGATAACGAAAATGATGATACAACCAGTCCCCATGCCCGAATTCGCAACAGCGAAGGGTTATCCATTGACCAGCCTTCAACGACGAGACACATAAAGAGTCTTATTGAACATGACAATCCCCATAATCGGGTCGCACCAGGATTGACTTCAACATGTTGCTCTTCGGAAGGAACAGCAAGGGATGTCAAGTCGGGTGCTGCAAAACAATCCCGTGAAGTTTCCAGCAGTGGTTCTGTGAACGAACAAAGCACAGGATCTAAAGGTGCCTTCGGGAAAGGTTCGCTGACAAAATTGGCGCAGAAGGTAAAACCAGCTAGTGCCGGGAGAGACGAGGCTGGCAAACGAGCAGCACAACGATCCTCTCTCGATAAGTCGAGTGCCCAGCCGGTCTCAAAGATTGCGACCCAGCGCAACAAGATGCAGAAAGGGCTTCTTGGTGACAAGAAATCCGCCCGCTATGACACGTCCACAAGGCCAACTTTTGAGGAAAGAGCAATCAAGACGACAGGATCTCCCGCTGATAAAACATCGTTGCCGGTCGCAAACAGAGGCGTGCCGAGATCACCCTTACATGACCTACGATTGCGAACCTCTCCCACTCAGACACGTCGAGCAAAAACACCGAACAAGCCCCAAAGTGATGCGCAGACTGATTATTTCACTGTGCATGAATTGAACCAGGAGTCTTTCATCAGCCAATCAGACTCATACACTCTCCGATCCACAGGAACACGGCCAAACTCACCAGCCGCTACAAGAACCCATGTGCGCAGTAGCAGCTCCTTGTCATTGACGCGATCCGAGACAGACATGGCTGTGTCTCTCGGTGGAGATGGCCGCCCAACTTCCTCGGGTTGGCAGCAGAGGACTACCTCGTTCGCACCCAGTATATACTCCTTAGCAACAGCGGGCTCGGAGACGTCACTCATACTTGCCCATCGTGCACGAAAGAGCGCATACGACGACGTAGAGACTATCAGATCGCTGAATCGAGACGGCATAATCCCCGGTATATTCCCCGAGCAACATTTTGTGCAGAACATCAGACGCTTTTGCCGATTCTCCTCGGCCTCATATGGGTCGAACGCTTTGAAAGTGATGGGTGTGACGAGGCCAACCAAGGCTGTCCCTCATCGGGAAACCGACAGCCAGGAACACTCTGATTTTTCGGACCACGCGGGACTACCAGCGTCAACGATCCTCTTGTCTTCTTTCGTTGATCCGGCGGGAGGAACCAATGCCGCGGGCGAGACTGACAGCGGTTTCCCTTTGGTTCATTATGTATGTCTGGACCATGCTTCAAAGGCTGTTGTTCTGACTCTCAGAGGGACGTGGGGATTTGAAGACATTCTTACAGATATGACTTGCGACTATGATGACCTCGTATGGCAAGGGAGAAGCTGGAAAGTTCACAAGGGTATGCACGCATCGGCAAAGCGCCTTCTGATGGGAGGTGGCGGAAGAGTTATGATCACCATCAGGGCCGCTCTTGAAGAGTTTCCAGATTACGGCGTAGTGTTGTGCGGCCATTCCCTAGGGGGTGGTGTTGCCGCACTTCTAGCCACTATGATTTCGGAACCTTACAGCGAACAATCCGGAACCTCATTTGTAACCGCTACACCTCGGTCTGCCGCGCGGCGGATGCTCCAGGGGGACAATGACGATGAAGCTGAAGAGAGCCGTCTTCCCTTCTATCTCCCCACTGGACGTCCAATCCATGTCTATGCGTACGGTCCCCCGTCTGCTATGTCCCCATTCCTACGCCGTGCAACTCGTGGCTTAATAACGACGATCGTCAACGGCCAAGATGTGGTACCAAGTCTTTCTTTAGGCATCTTGCACGATATGCACACTGTATCTGTCGCGTTCAAGAGTGACACTACTGGGGCCAAGTCGCATGTGCGATACCGAGTTTGGGAAGGTCTGAGGCAGAGCATTGTTAACAAATTTTATGTCAACGAAGCGCCCATGCTTCTGCACGCTGGCGATGGCGTTGGGGAAGACGCCTGGGCGTGGAAAACATTGAAGGCGCTTCGAGAAGAGATGTGTGCCCCCAAGCTGCTGCCTCCTGGAGAGGTCTTTGTGGTAGAGACGATGCGTGTTCTTCAACGTAATGCTTTTACGTCTGACTTTGGTGGGGACGGCTACCCAAGGCTTGGTCGGCCTGCAACGAGGGTCCAATTGAAGTTTATCCGAGACGTCGAGTCTCTTTTTGGAGAGTTGAGATTTGGGCCAGGAATGTTCAGCGATCACAACCCAGCAAGATATGAGGCCAGTCTGGCGGCGCTTGCACAAGGTATCCTAGACGATTAATCCGCTTACCAACCAGTGCAGTGAGCATATTTCTGATGATTATTGTGCTGTTCTCATGGTTTCCGGGATGTCATTCGTTGATAAAAGACCACGATATGAGGTGTTATGTATAAATTGGCTTTGACTCCATACCCCTGAGATATACCCATTTCCTAGCCCCAGAATTCAATTGATATGCTCTGACTGCCAAATCTCATATAGAATTCCATGCACACTGGCTCCGCTGTCTGTGAGCGTGGATCGTAAATTTTACCACTAAATCGTCTCCTTGGCTGGGGTGGAGGACATCCAAACGTATACCTCGCGAGACTATAGCTTGTACCTGCTGAAGGACTGAGTCCTGGCTTCAAAAAGCTCCGTTACGGAGCAGCCTCTTTTCATCCTCTTAGTAGAAGCCATGGAATCACAGATTGGACGGTCGCTCCGCAGTTCAGCTAAACCCGGTCTTGGCATAGCCGAAATATTGCTGTGAAGCTTTTCCGGTAGCTTGGTTGCATAGCCTGATCGACCCAGCGCTCGGCGGCTGCGATTGAACCCGAGCAGCAGCTGAGCCCGCGATATGCTTCTAGACAGATAGCAACCAGGAAAGGAAGACCATGGTCATTTTAGTCCTCATTGATCACAATGTATGCTTTTCACCGTCCATTATGGGGCGTCTCCTTTTTCTCGCCGAGACCCTTCTGTGCCCTCTCCTGAATTCTTTTCTCGAGGTCGTCGATTTGTCTCTCAACAAGTTCCTTCTTAGACATCAGGCTCTGTCGCATGGCCCGTAGTGACGCAATTCGCTCGTCAATCGTAGCTTCTTGAGATTTCTGGGCCGTCTATCTCACGCAGAACAAGTCTGTCAGATCGACACACTCTTTTGCCATGGGTGAGAGGGATCATACCTGAGCAACCTCTTGTTCGGTCTTGACGCCGGCGCCGTAAAGTGTTCCTGCGATGGTAATTGACGTAACTGCAGCAGCCAAGACAAGCTTCGGTACATTTTGAGGAGCAGGCATGATGACGGATATTCTTATTCTATTCGTTGATAATCTTTCTAGCCTAAGGTAGCAAGTATGATGTTGATAGGGTGATCTGCACCGAGAGAACATTTGTGGAATTGCCTCTTTCTACCGCCTGCTCATTGTGGAAATAGATTGATTAGCCTCATCGGGAGTCGCGTCGCGTCATCCGCGCAGGAACTCCAAACGATCCGTATCAGGATGTCGAAAGAGGCAACGCCCTTCTGTCAGGTACGCTGACTTTCACAAGGACTCCGCGCGTATCTGCCAATATGCCATCTCTGAGCACGGTTCCCCGCCGTCGGCAGCGGTCGGAAGACAACGAAGATGATGATGAAACGTCGACCAACTCGTCAAGAGACCCCACGCCTGTGTCACGAAATTTGGGCAACGGCAAGCGCCGTCGGCTACCTATTCAGGATGGCGCAGATGAGGAAGAAGACGACGGTGAAGATAGTAACGAAGGCAGTGATGAAGGTACGGAGCAAACCACTCCTGAGCTTACTCAGGCTGGTCCCGGACCTGCACAAACCTCCAATTCGCAAACAAGGTCTTTAGCCAACGGTGAGGTGGATGAGGATGGCTACAAGCCCGGCGCTATTGTGCGCATTAAAGTCACCGATTTCGTGACCTACACGTCTGCGGAGTTTTTCCCTGGGCCGAAACTTAACATGGTGATTGGCCCGAATGGAACAGGAAAAAGCACACTTGTCTGTGCAATTTGTCTGGGCTTGGGATGGGGCCCGCAGGTACGGGCGATGTTCATCTTGAGACACTACGACAAAATTGCTGACAGGTTCCACGCCGATCTATAGCACTTAGGACGCGCGAAAGATCCGGGCGAGTTCGTCAAACATGGTTGCAGAGAGGCCAGCATTGAGATTGAACTGGCTGGGGGGCCACAACTCCGCAAAAATCCGGTTATCGGTCGGATAATCAAACGCGAAGGCAACAAGAGCTCGTTCACGATCAACGGGAAGCAAGCTTCTCTCGCACAGGTTAAAAAACTGGCTCAGTCCTTCGCCATTCAGATCGACAACTTGTGTCAATTCTTGCCGCAAGACAAAGTCAGCGAGTTTGCTGCCCTGACCCCTGTGGAACTGCTTAACTCAACGCAGAGGGCCGCTGCGGGACCAGAGATGATCGAGTGGCATGAGAGTCTGAAGAAGCTTCGAGCTGAACAAAAGAAGTTGCAGTTGGATAACAAGAGTGACAAAGATTTGCTAGCAAACCTCGAAAACAGACAGGAGATGCAGCGAGTGGACGTTGAGCGAATGCGGCAACGAGCCCAGATCAAGAGGAAGATCGAGATGTTAGAGCATCTCCGTCCGGTTGTTCAATACAGAGACGGCCTCAAGGACTTGAAGCAGAAGAAGAAAGAGAAGGCAAAACTCCAAAAAGAGCTCGAGGACTTGAAGGCTGAACTAGAACCCGCTCTGAGAGCCGTCAATGCAAAGCAGAATTATTGCTCTCAGCTGGAAGAAGTGGTCAAGTACAAGAAGCGCTGCTTTGAGCAAGCAGACCGCGCCGCCACAGAGATCGTGAAGAAAATTGAACAATTTGACGATGCGCTGAAGGATTTCAACAACCAGATTGAGGCTGAGAAAAAGAGTGGCCAGAGTTACAGGCAAGAAGCGACCAAGATCCAGCAGACAATCAACAGGCTCAATCGCGAGTTGAACGACGAACCGGCTGAGTTTGATATCGGCTGGTATAATGAGAGGATTGTGGGTGCCCTTACGACGTGATCAGAACGCATGCTGACTGTCTCCGCAGAAAGAAAAGCGCCTGGCAACCAGAGAGCTTGAGGGAAAAGCGAATGAAATCCAGCAAGCTCGACTGCCCCTTGTTGAAGAGCTCAAGTCGAAGAACGATCAGATCAGACGAGCAGAACAACAGTTGCACAGTCTCGCCTCCCAATCAGGGCAGCAAGAAGCCAAGCTTCGTGGAGCGTCACAGCATTCGTATCAAGCTTACAAGTGGTTGCAAGACAATCAGGATAAGTTTGAGAAGGAAGTTTTCGGGCCGCCAATCGTCACCTGCTCGGTCAAAGATCCCAAGTATGCTAACGCCGTTGAGTCGTTATTACAGCGCACGGATTTTACTGCCTTCACCACGCAGACTCGAAATGACTTTCGGACCCTGCAAAGAGCCCTGATCACCGAAATGAGGCTTCATGACATTAGTATCAGGACTTCAACGAAACCTCTAGAAAATTTTCGCCCGCCCGTCTCGGATGGAGAGCTTAGGTCCTTGGGTTTTGACGGATGGGCCAAGGACTTTCTCAGCGGTCCTGAGCCTGTGCTCGCCGTTCTATGCAGCGAAAATCGGTTGCATCAAACACCTATAAATTTACAGGGAATCTCGGACGAAACTTTCTCCAGATTGGAAAATGGGTCGATAAGCTCCTGGGTAGCTGGAAAGCAAAACTACCAGATTGTCCGGCGACGGGAGTATGGCCCCGGTGCGGTTTCAACCCGTGTGAGACAGGTTAGACCGGCGCAGATCTGGACCTCGCAAGCAGTGGATATTGTAGCGAAGCAAGAGATTGAGCGGAAAATTCTCTCCCTCAAGGACGAAGTAAGACAAGTAAAAGAAAAGATGGATTCAGAGCGAAGCCGACTGCACAGGATGGGTGAAGAAAAGAAGGAACTAGATCGCGAGAGGGTAAGTCAACGGCGGTCCTAGAACTCTTACGTTCGCTCACTCTTTCTACCCAGGCTACACTTGAAAAGGAGAAAGCCGAGAAACAGACAGCACTTATCAACTATAGGGCTATTCCTGAAAGGATTCGTAAGTCTGCGATCTTTCTCTTCGCTCGTCTGTCAATACTTCTCGTCTCACATCATGAAATAGGTCAGCAAGAAGCGAAGAAGAAAGATATCGAGAGACTCTTTGGAGAGATCAGAGTCAAAGTTATTGAAATTCGTGGTCGACAAGATCAAATTTCGATTCAAAAGGCCAAGGCAAATCTTGAATATGCGGTACGGCAGTCATTAGACCAGTTATCAAGTTATCATTACCATGCATTTTTGAAGACTGACCATACGCGCAGGATGCTGTTGAGAACCTTCGCACACTACAGGAGGAAGTCATTCAACTTAGCATACGTCGCATTGAGGGCCTTTCGGATTGCTCGACGTTGACAGAACGCAATCAACATCACAAGGAGAGGCTAGAGGAGAAGTATTCCGAGGTGAAAGCGGCAAATGAAGATGTTGCTGCTCAAACCGAAGCTGTGAAGAAGCTGCTCCCATTAGCAAACAGGGCCGCACAGGCCGTCAATGTTCAAGAGGACTTGCGTGAATTAATGCCCACACTGGCTGACCATACTTTGGTGCAGCTCGAAGCGGACATCGATTCGGAGAGAGCACATCTAGAACTCGTGCAAGGAGGCAACGTAAACGTGATCAAGGAATTCGAGGAGCGCGAAAAGCAGATCGAGAAATTGCGAAATAAACTATCCGAGTTCCAGAATCAGCTTGTGGAGTATGACCATGCCATCAGCGAAATTCGTGGTCAATGGGAGCCCAAATTAGAAGAGCTTGTGAAGAGCATCAGCGACGCTTTCTCAGACTCCTTCGCTCGCATTGGATGTGCCGGTCAAGTCACCTTGGATAAGGCAGAAGACGAGGAAGGCCCTGATGGCGAGCCGGGGGGCAGCAATTTCGATCAATGGTCAATCCAGATCCAAGTGAAATTTCGAGAGAACGAGAACTTATCCGTACTTGATTCTCATCGACAGTCGGGTGGAGAGAGAGCTGTCAGCACCATTTTCTACCTGATGGCCCTCCAGTCGCTATCGGCCTCACCATTCCGCGTCGTTGACGAGATCAACCAAGGTATGGACCCACGAAACGAACGTATGGTTCATGGACGCCTAGTCGATATCGCTTGCGCTCCCGCTCGCAATGGAGGTGGCGGCCAATACTTCCTCATCACTCCCAAACTGCTCAGCGGGTTGGTCTACAAACCAGGAATGAGAGTCCTCTGCAT